GTTCTTGCTTACTTGCTTACTTTGCTTTTTAATATTTCTTATAATTTTTAACCTTATAATAATTTGCAAATCTTGGGGTTATATCAATTTTTCCCTTTTGTGTGTTGTTACTATCTAGGGTTGATAAAATCAATAAAGATGAACAAACTCAGTGTACTAAGGGAATATGCAATTACAATAAATGAACAACAGCTTGGAATCTAATCGGCCACCTGAGATTGAAATTTATTTTTTTTTTATTAGCAGCATTCATTGTGACCATTGGTACCATATTAGATTGTTGTCAAGCAATTAGTAGTTAAATTAATGATTGATATACATATGGAACCATTTTCATTGGAAAGATTTCTTTTAGTGGTGAAGTCCCAGTGTGAATTCTCCAACCAAACTAGTTCTTAATATTAGAATTTAACTAGACTTTGTCTGATGCCATGCCAAGCAGTCTTTGATCCTACTTGTAAATGACAAGATGAACAGAATTTATTTAAACTGTTTTAACTGCCCAATATTAATAGAGTTGGTTGCTTATAATCACAAATATTAATTTTAAAATGTAATTTAAAATGTTAATGAAAATAAATGTATTGGGGAAATTTTCATTATTATATTAAATAAAGAATACTGTAATACATAAACAATAAATGCTGATAATAATAATGGCTTGCTAGGGTTTTAAAATGCTTTCATATATTCTGCTATATGACTATCCAACTCCCCTTTAGAATTTCCCAGAAATATTAATGAACAGAATTTTCAAGAAAGAAACCAGGGTGCTAAATTTGTATCAACTCTGAAAATATTTTAGTACTATCAACTAATATACATTCACACCTTGTAGAATTATTATAATAAATTGTTTTGAGAAAATGGTGAATTAAGATACAATCAGGCAAATTTGATTTTCATGTTTATACTCCATTATGATTCACAACATATTGAATCTAAATGGGGGGGGGGATGATGTATTTCTATGTTGTTTTATTTATAATACATGAGTAAAGGCTGCCCTCTTTTGATAAATTTTAATTCATAAAGTTTATATGTTTAATATTCTGAATAGGTTTTATATGTAGGAAAATATTTAAAAATACAGTTTAATAGCATTCCTGGGAAGCAATGTATAAGAGCCAGTAGTAGTGGGGAAGGTGCTATCTAGAAACTAGGAAACCATTAATTCTAGGCCTGTTTTCAGTATGAAAGCTGGTTGGGTGACTTTAGTCATTCTCTCTCCGCCCAACCTACTGTACAAGGTTGTTGTTATGGAAGAAAATAAAAGGCTATCCCATCGGCTTTACATGGATGATCTGAAGCTGTATGGAAAAACACCATCCGAAATAGAATCATTGCTGAATATATAGAAGATGCCAAGATATTGCAATGGAATTTGGTCTGGAGAAATGTGCTATATTAACAGGAAAAATATCAAATGAAATGAAAACTCCCCTTCAAAAGTTACTTTATATTTACTTAAAACTAAAGGTTTACCTTGCTTTAGATCCAAACTTCACCATCTTTATATAAATCAATAGGACTGAATTAAGTTGCAGTAAATAAGAACATTTAGTTTCAGCTGATCTAAGCAAATACCCTGCTTGTATTTTCTAACACAGAAAGTGAGCTTACCTTAGAATTTGAACAATTTGCAACTTATAATATATGAAACATGAAAATGCAGGCTTTTGAGTAATACTGTAGTGGGAAAATGGATTAACATAGTGATAACAGTACTACCTATAAATTCTGGGAGCTGAAGTTCATGCAACTTTCTAATTCTGGGAGGTGAAGTTCATTTATCACAAAATTGCCAAACTTGAAAAATATTGCCTTAGCCTATACAAATGTCCTTCACATGAAGAACATGACACCAATATAGTTTCCTTCTAAACTAGCTAATATAATACAAAGTTTCTTCCTACTTCTCTTATGAAAACATTTTATATCCAAGTAGATTTAAACTATATTTGTATTCACTAAGGATAGTGACATCTTGAATTTATTTGCCGTAATGCTGTCAATCTCTATTTCACTCTGCAAATTTCATAAATGACAAAAATAAACGTTTCCAAATCTTTCTAAGCCTTCTATCATAAAAATGCAAAACAGCTTATACTTCTTATTACAAGTATGTGCTAATGAGGTCTCTTTGTCATTGCTGCAATAAACTAGCTGCATATTTTTAATTTACTCCTGGGATAAATTTTTGTTGGATGAACAGGCACCTTCTAATACTGTTAAAATCAGACTAATATAAACAAACACAAAATTAATTAAATCTAAGGATTGCTGCCAAATTCTAATTTGTGGATGAAATTCATTGGGATGAAGATGAGACTGCTTTCCAGATTTTGTCATGCTTCAATTTGGTTTTCCTCATGAGTTCTGCACTAATAATCCCATCTAATGTTCCAGCCTCTAAAGAGCTATTAAAGCCAAACCTTCACAAAAGTAAAATGCACATCTTGAAAATTGGTAGTTGAAAGATACATGCAAGTTTCATCCAAGAAATTATTGCTGAAAAGCCTAGTGCCAGAGCAATATTCTTTTCATTATCTTTATTTAAATTTTTAAATCCTAAAATTTATATAGTGCTGGCACATTTTAACTTGCCCATAATTTTTGATACAAGTTGTTGGCAGGATGCTTATTTTATATTTATAGTCTTGTATGCCACTTGCTTTTTTGTCATACAATGGATTTTTTCAGAGATTTTCTCAGGCAAAAGTACAGTCCAGACTTTATAATTATTCAATATTCCAAAATACCCATCAAAACATTTTGCTCCATTGCTAATTAACAATAAAAAAATATTATCTTGTAGCTCCCACAAATGTCAAACATTCACGGTACCACTGTCACGTTTCCTCTTTTAAAAAATCTCCAAACACCATTTTCCCATGAGAATTCTTCTTCTAATTAATAAAAATTATACTTCAAAGTCTATCTGGATACCTTAATCCTCTCTTAACTTCTCAGAATTCATACTCTAAGCATATCCAGAACTTTTAAAATAATATTCAATAAATTCTTTCTTCAAGGAGAAGGAAACTCGCCTGCAAATACAGTAAAAAATTTCCAGTGTGAAGAGTATAATCAATCCAAAGTAATGAAGGAAAATAACCCAAAAAGTGATTAAGAAATGAAGTTCTTATGCTTTTTGTCCTTAAAAAGCTATATGTCTGGTGTGGAAAAACCAGGTCCACATGAAAAGATTCAAATTGACTGAAAGCCTATGAAGAGGAATCTTCTCAACTAATGGTCAGCACCTGATGAAAGTTAGATAAGGATCAACAACAATCAAAGGGAACTCTCAGCCACTCTATTCATAAGCAGATTGCAATTCTTGATATCTATCATGAGAAGCAGCTGCTGTTTGATTCACATTTTCCCCCTTAGATCTATTTTCTTCAAGAAATGGCCCAGAGTGATCCACTGTGAATCTTCACTGTCCATTTCCCTTTATACTTACTTTTCTCATGTACTTATATACTGTACATTTTTAAACTGTGCCAGATCTTTAGCTGGTCAGTTTAAATATTTCAACTATATATATTTTTTTCTCACTTTGCTCTTGCTTCTGGTAAAATCCTCCATCCATAATCATGGATTCATTTTGTAGACCTGTGTCTGCTTGCTCTAAACTCAAAGGTTATTCCTTGTGCTAGCATTAGGGGGAGTCTTATTCAAATTTCCTAGAATTTTATTCATATCCTGAATAGTAGACATTGCTTCTATTGCTTACAATTTTAAAATTATGTTTAAATGGAAATCCCTCTGAATTCCCATCTTTATCAACAGTTATGTTGGAGGCTTGATTAATTTTGTCTCTAGTACCTTCATTAAGAAAATTATTATATCCTTGTTTTTCAACTTCACAAGTCTGTACATGTCCTTTCACACAAATGTAAATCTGTGAAGACATTGTTCAGTTTCAGTATAATAGCATATGTTTATTGTATTTAGGGGTTTTTTTTTGCTGTTAACTCTAATGGAAAAGTTGCTTGATCTATGCTCAAAACTCAAAGCTAATTTCAACAACAGATATTAGTGTACCATATCTATCTAGGCATGTATCAATCTGTGTGGGTTTGTGTGTGTGTGTGTGTGTGTGTGTGATCTATATGTGCATATGTGTATATCTATAGCAGGCAATGACACTGACAATTGTCGGATTCACAAATAATACTAAACATAAAACAAATAACAATGGTAAGATTTGCACAGCACAGCAAGTACACCACCAAATAAAAGTTTTAGAGAATAGTGCAGTATACAGGACCATAATGGCAGTTAGAAGAGAAAGCAAAAATAAAAAATGGTTCAATTTTTTGCTTTGTGTTATCAGTGAGTGATGGTCCCATCACAATGGATTTATCTTTTAAAATTGCTATGGAGATCTTTGAAAGAAACATACATAAAATATATATAACATTTGTATTAATTATAAAGGTATTTGTCATTATTTGCTCTATGATTTAATAAATATTTTATTTAAATTAATATTAAAGTTCACATGCTAAATAATATCTATCATTATATAGCCCAGTTATTCACCTGTTAAGAGGTAGATACTTTCTTATGCATATGAACAATATGCACAAATTTGCAAATAGTTAGCAGCTACACCTATTGAACATGCAAAGATGGTTTTCAGAAGATATCAAATAATTTTGTTGCTTAGAGGCTTGAGTGATGCTACCAAGAGATTGGCTGTAATAAATGGTTTGTTTGTGTTTTAGGATCAATAAGATGAGCTAAACCGTAGCTTCTGTATTTTGGATATTTACAAATTATGCTGCATCTGTTTCATAAAGCATATTATTAGATTGATTCAATTTCAGTTTCTATTTAGCAAGTTATTACCAGCCTATGGGTGTCATTATGAACTGTGATCCTCCCATTAATGAGTATCCTTGTTCATGTGCCCAAATGCTGGTTTGAACCTATTTCTCTAAACTGTAGCATTTCATATTCATATAATAAGATATTAGATCTGTCAAATATAAAAGCATTGGCACATATATTTTAATGTACTATGATCCTGCATTTAGTGATGAAGTTATTACTGTTAATTTCAATGGTATGTCAGCATCATTGTGCATAAGACTGAAATCGAAATCTTCTCAAAAAATAATTCACAGCTGAGTGCTTGTCAACTAGAAATTGATTGCTAACATATGCAACTAGGCACATGAAAAATATTTGAATTTCTTTTAAAAGTTCATTTGTGATCTTCAGAGGTAGTCATAAAATTGGCAAATTAAATGTCTTGAAGGAAGCCAATTAAACTTGTTACCAGTTCATGTTGCTCTCTTTAATTTCTTGCATACAATATCCTGAAATAATCAATTGTCCTGCATATTTATCTCATAGCATGGGATAGGTGTAAAAGTTGTTTCAACATTTTCCACAAGTATTAAATCATATCTGCATAACTGGATCCTGTACAGAGAGAAGAAAATATACAATTTTAAAAAGTGTATTTTATTGTTATTGTCCATAAGTAATATTCATCCTGTATTTAACCAGTGTTTTTAAGAGAAACCAGGACCGATTTTCAGTGTATTACCAATATAATACAGCATAATATATGATAGTAGATTCATCTCCCCCCACCCCCACTCTCTGTTCCCTACAATCTTTTTTACTAGTCTTATTAATTTATTTTCTTTGTTCTCTTTTTCCTTGTTTGTTGTATTCTATTATTTTACATTTACTTTCTTTAAACTTCCTTTTTATTTCTTTGTATTTTATGGCAAGATAGGCAGCAAATAAATTTAACGATGACAACAACAACAACAACAACAACAATAATAATAATAATAATATACTAAACCATGTCCAAAACAGATGGGAATAAATTTTAATCTTATTTATTCCTGTACCTTTAATTGTTTTACCTTTTGATATGATTATCCAAAGTTATTTTTTAAAATCCATATTGTACTCTTTCCAAATCGTATATAAAGACATATGAAAACACTGGTCTGTACATTCTCAGAAATGCTTTCCCCCACAAATCTTTTAGAGTAAAAGCCACTGCTCTTTGCAAAAGTCTTTAGGTATCACTCAATAGCCAAACCTATTAGATAGGTAAAGCTCAGCTGTGGATACTCGTCCACAGCTAAGTGTTAATAGTTTAGATATGTGTACCTTAATCACAAGCTATCTGGTACACATTTCAGAACTTTTTTTAATAAATTAAGTGTCGGAACAATTATTTTATTGCATAACCAATTATTTTATTGCATATGCTGAATAATATTAAGGGAAATCAATTCTGGGAAAAAGCATTTCTGTTTCAAGCAAAATAAATTTTTAACCAGCTACTAATTTCTATATAATATGCACCAGTCTTTATTTGAGAAGTGATTTCCATGACTGTTCCTGAGAGGGAGCAACCAATACAACTATACATTCTCTATCAATATAATCAAGAATTCTTGCAGATGTAGTTCTGCTTTTTCGGCCCCACTGTATATACAGGAAAAAAATTATTTTTAGCATGCCTACACTCACATGGCAGACACTGTACTGAAAATATTCCCCTCAGATGCAGTTTTAGCAAATTCTGTACTTATTTTCTGCTTCAGTTTTCAGAAACAGTGCCTTCAATTAAAACTATTCTGTCATCTGTAAGTGCTATCATTGAGCAACAGGATTTGTGGTTCAGCTCTTTTCCTAAATTCTTTTTCCAGATCATGAAGCTATCACAAAATGACAATCTGTGTTACCTTTCTGGATGTGAGAGAGATTTTAATCTCATTTTGAGAACTCTAAGCTTGTACTTGGGGCCCACTGTACTCCTTGTAGAAAATGTCAAAGCAATTGCTGAAATGTTTCCAAAATCCAGATAAAATCCAGCAAGTATTTTTGTTTGCCTATATTGTTGAAATACAGCGGCATCGCTAAAGAAGAAAAAACAAAATTATTCAATGTATGCCTCTTATAAAATAAGACTCAATGTGTTGTGCAATGGGTTCCAAACATCTTTAAAAAACAAACCAGAATAGAATATAGAAATGACTACAAACCTTGGTCCAGGCAGAAGCAGCAGGAAATATATTTTGACAACTGGATTCTCAAATATTTCCAGTACAGATTGTAACAGCACTGTGGACTGATCTACGAAATGTCTTATTATACCTTAAGGCTGCTCGGCTGAAGGCTGAACAAGCAAAATTAGCCATTTATTTGTCCACAAGAGATCAGAAGACAAGAAAAGACATGTACCACCATCTTTGCTGCAGCAGGATTGTGCCTATCAAAAACTTCTCCTTTTGAATTACCTAGTACATATACTGTAAGGTAGGCAGACAGCTATGGCTATCAGCACTGGCTTTTGGTATCAGTCTGTTGAAAAATAACCATGAAGTGAAGGAAGTAGCTTGCAATGACCGCTTCCAGCCTCCTACACCACCTACTTTCTTATTCTTCCTTTGGCACTGCTACATTTATATTTCCACTGAACACTGAAATAAGTAGTTTTTCTACTTAATCCAGCCTTTGAATGCACCCTCTTTTATAAAGAATTTTACTATTATTATAAATACCTTGTATTTATATACACAATAGCAATTTCTGAATTTGCATGTACTGATATAAATTTATGCAAATTGAATGCAAACTCTCTCTTTTTCTCCCTCCTGTTGTCTTCCTTCCCTCCCCTTCCCCTCCTCTCTTTCCTGATATATATTAAGCAGGTAGCAAAAATAAACAGCATAATTAGAAAACAGAAAGAAAATCTGACTGAAATAGTATTCTCTCAACTTTGTATTCTGCATCTTACATTCCAAGATCAGGGGGCTCTACTCACAGTCACTCATGCCTCATGGTTGGACTATTGCAATGTGGTCTACATGAGGCAGTCCATGAAGAACATTTGGAAGTGTCAGCTACTGCAGAATGCAGAATGCAATAGAGCAGGAAGTTATGTGTTTCCGTACAAACACATGTTTATGCTTTTGTTTGGCAAGCTGCATTGTTAACCAATCTGTTTCTAAATTCAATTCAAGGTGCACATTTTGATGTTTAAAGCTCTACATGGATTATTTGAAGGACTGCCTTTCTCAGATTATATCTATCCATCCCAAACATATTGTATAATTTTGTATCCCACCCAGAGTAATTTGATTGTGAGGTTGGCAGCTATATAAATAAGACTAATAAATAGCATACACACAATTTGGCCTTTTTAGTCACACTAGAATTGGCTCCAAAAATAATTTTGTGATTAAGAACTACATCAAAGGGTGGGGAATTCCAAAGGTTGGGAGAGTAGGAACAAAGAAAATATAGTCACAGTCATGTAATGTCCCATTTTGCATCCGCTTCACTTAACGATAGAGCTACTAGTTCCAACTATGGTTGCTAACGAAGGACTACCTCTATTATGATTTTTTCTTTACATATTAACTTTCAAATTTCCATTCCAATCCAAAAGTCATTTATCAATTACTCATTTTATTAAACTTTGTTGAAACTAGTTCTAATTATAGCTGATACTATTTTGCATAAAGAATACCAAAATGAATAAATATATCTCACCTATTAATTCTGGATTCTATTGTATTTCCTGAATTATCTGTTATTTTGATATTTATGAAACCACTCCTAGTGCTTTTATTCCATGTAATAATATCCAAAGAATAATGATACACTGTGGGAGATAGAAAAATTTTTTAATTTTATTTTGATTTATTTTCCTCTTTTTCAGAATGGAAAAGAAGAATCCTGGAAAACGGACTTGAGTTTATAGAGCAAAGCCAGAAAGTTATACATCAAGAGAATACTGAAAATGTTCCCAGGCTAGAATGTCAGAATAATGTATACATTTCAGAGCTAGCTGCATCATAGTAGGTAACAGCTTCATGCTAAGACATTTTATTGAAAAATGTACCTCTTTTAGCAGCAACCTTTTTTTTATTATACTGAGATTGATCAAAATACCCCATTAATGGCAAGATGGAGCAAGGTGAAATAGCAGGTAACATTATTATGCTCTAATTAATCATGACATAAATCTTATATTTGATGCCCTTATAAATTAGCAAATGATATGGATGTCTTTTGCTATATATTCTGGATTTTTTCTTGTTTTTGTTCTATATTCTATAGTTGCTGTACTTACTAGGAAAATATTTTTTAAAATTACTCATTCTGTATTACATTTATGATAGTAAATGTAGAACATAGTCATATTTCCTAAGAATGAGACATTCAGGCACTTCATTTCCACAGCATTCTGGAAAGATAGATCATTATATAAAATATATTGTATACAACATAAGGAAAATAGTCTTCTACAACAGGCATTTAAACAACTGATCTGAACTCTATATGGATTCTTACAATGAATTAGATTTCATTGAATTCAGCTAAATTTAGTATTAAAATTCTTTTGAATTCTTTTTCAAATTTAAATTATCACTTGCTACTAAATATCTCTTGTATTTTGCCTTTAAAAACCATGCAGGTTTTTTTGTTGGGTTCACAATTATCAGTAAAATTCTATATGCAAAGCAAAAAGTATAGCATTACTTTTATCATATCCAAAATAGCCAAATAGTTAATATAACACTTTCCTGGCCATATAACACCCATATATTGCCTGCTTCCTAGACGAGAGAGAGAGAGTGACTGGCCCAAAGTCAACCAGCTGGCTTTGCAAGACTAGAACTCACGGTCTCCCAGTTTCTAATCTCTACAGTTTTTTGTGCAGTTAACCACTGCACAAAACTGACTACAGTATATTGTGATATCGCACAATAGAATAAATGGAAATCTGGTTTGCAATATGAAATGTTTCAAATAATATAATGCTTTTGTATTTAACTTAAATATGGCGCTCTAAGGAGTTACATAAAGGATTCCAAAGCAGATCCATCTTTTAGTCATGTCAGTCAGCCAGAATTAATGATTTTCCTAATACTGAGCTATTATCTCTGCTTCAAGTTCTGCTAAGACCTTGAATGTAGTTATTTAATTATCAATTGAAAACATCAACACAGAATACAATACAGAAACACACACAGCTCTATTTGTAAGAGACACTAGTACAGATCTCATATGGACCTTTTATAATGCATGGTAGTAAATATTTACTAAATTCTCTGTTTCATTATACTTCTTTTCTTGACATTCACTTTGTTATTATCTAATATAAATCCATCTCTTTCTCATTTTTTATCAGCTCATTTGTCATCCTTTACTAGGTTGCCCAGATAATTTCCTGTTTTTAACATTTTTCTTCAAGCACATAGATCTTTTCAGCATTATACTATTTCATAAATAAAACTGTAATAAAAAAACTAAGTTTAATCGAGTATATGTCAAGTTATCTGGACAGTAAAATGCACTTGGTTTTTTTCCTCCTATCTCTTTCCATAGCAGGAAAAAAAAAGAAAGCTGAAGTAGATGCATGGAAAATAGTTAATGACTTACTGCAAAATGGGTCTTTGTCTGAAGTATCAAAGTAAGCTGTTGTCATGGGAAGATTCTTTTCAAGTAAATGATCCTTCCATTTATCAGCATAATATCCTGGAATTGAAATATATTAAATACAAAATAAACAAACAAATGCAAAACATACTAAAGATATTTTATTTTATGATGCTCCATGAAATTAACTTTCTCAGAATATAATAAAAATATTTAAGTGTTACAGTTCTATACCAGAAGACAAAAGTTCTGTTAGTTATGAGAAGTTATCAGCTAGATTTTAAGTGAAGCTCTTGATTAACTCTTTTGCAAATTTACCATAGTAATAATGTTATATTAAGCAATAGCTTCAGACAGCACACTGACCTAGCAGCAGAAGCATTGCTATTGCAGGCAGGAAGGCAGGCAATTGATTTTTGATTGGTAAAGCAATTAGACCATAAATCAACGTGCCATATTCTACTCTTTTCATAAGTTAGAAGTTGTTGGGAGGGCAAGTGATTGATTAGTACTGCATGGCTGAAAGAGAAGCTAAACCTTTTCCATTTTAGAAATGTTATGAATAAACAAAGTAAATAAATATATTGGATTGTGTGCTCTGTTTTGTCTGTTTGAGCTTAACAAACCTGCTCACAATCTCACTTATCTAGTTTTAGAAAGATCCCACATAATACTATGAATTAGTTGAAAGCTATGAAGAAATGAAATTTGAATAAGGAAAAGAAAGTAGTATAGAAATTCATCTGAAAGTATGAGTGCTTTTTTAATGATTCATTCAGCAAGCAAACTGACTGATCAGGTTTATATTACAACATCATGGATGGCAGTAATGAAATGACAACTAGATCAAGCATTCTGTCAGTGCACATAGATAATTTGCATGTGTTATTATTGGTCTCTTCATTTGAGCAGCTAAACAAATATACAGAAATAACAGCATTCAAACAAGCTATGGTCCTAAGCCAGTTTAAAGTATTATTACTCCTGATCTATTTTTCTAATTTTCTTTTCAGAAAAGCAGAAGTAATCTGTGTTAGTAAACTGTTCTTTCAGCTGTGATTTATAATATTAGGATTTCTGGTTTAATATGAAGTAAAATATGACCAAGGTGCAACAAAGTCCCCCTGGGTTTTTACAATCAACAGAGAGAGCCAAAACAATTTTTGATCAGAATGACAGAATATTTAATAATGTAAGTTTCATCAGCCATTCCTCATGTAAAATATATCTAGAATATGTAAATAGTATAAATCCATTTAATGGATCCTAGCTTCTATTCACATAATGCAAAATGTCTTCAGGAAGGGAATCTGCCTACTATAGCTGAAGGCTATAGCTGAAGGCTATAGCTGCTGGATGCAGCTTGGTCATGTACCGGTAGGACTTCAAGTACTCATACACCTTGCAAGTAAAATATGACACCAAATCAGTGTGTTTATTTGTATATTTAAGAATTAATACTTAATTCTTTTAAAGCATAATGATAGTGATTTTAAAAAATGTATTTTTTTTGCATGATGATTTACAAATAGTGCACTTGTTTCATTTTTATTTCTTTTAGGATATATTTCAGGCATCTACATATATATTTTTTAATTCATTTGCAACAGGAAACTTTAGAGATATCCAGTTCTCTTAAGCTATCTTTCACTCTTATGGTGGTGTGATATGGAGGCTTCCAGTTTTGGAAATAAATTTTAAGATTCCATCAAGTCTCCCAGCTTAAAAATTACAATTTCTGACTCTTCCTTTGGAGTAAAATTAACCATGAAGAACTCGGTTTCCACAATAGCCAAATTGACATTCACCCTTTGATTCTGATGCAGTATCAGAAACATATGGGTAAAACCTTATTGTACATTGCTTGAAATGGAAGAAATATGGAACATATACGTTTTCTTCTATGAAGAAAATAATTCTCAACTTTTTCCTCATCCTGTTACGTGTAGGAACAACAGAATATGATGACATCTAAAACACACCAAAATAACTCAATACTTTTACTGTGAAGTAGTGCTATTGCTAAGTATATAAGTCTAAGTGCTATTGCTATTGTGAGATATTACAACATTTTCTTTGCCTAAAATCTTATGTATTTTGGAAAGATAATGTCAAGTTTAAAAACAGTTAGTAATGATAACTTGATGTTTTGGAATTTCCATTCTCAGCATCATTGTTATTCCCTCATCACGTGCACCAGGGATCACCTACAATACATTCAAATACTAACCTAAAAATAAATGTGTAGAACCTGAAAATAATAATTGTAGTTAATGGAAAAACTTTCTTGGTAATTGTTTCTACATGTCTTTTTTTTAAATGAAGTTAACAGCTAAGAAATAGTTGGGAATGTTTTATAAATAATTCAGAAAGCTGAGTTTGAAAATTAAGATATCTGCTTATCTTTTACTCCCATCTAAGAAGGGCTAATCCTGTTTAAGACACAGATAGCCTAATGATTTATTGGGAGATATTTTATTTTATTTCTTTATTTGTATCCTGTCTTTTTACAAATAACTCCAGGTAGCAAACATATCTAACACACCTTCCTCCTTCTATTTCCCCCACGAGAACAGCTGTGAGGTGATTTAAACTGAGGGGATGACTGGGCCAGCTGGCTTTCATGGCTAAGGCGGCACTTGAACTCACAATCTCCTGCTTTCCAGCCTGGTGCTTTAAGCATTAGACCAAACTGGCTCTACTAGAAACTGGAGATGAGAGTTAAATGAAGATATCTTGTGCAGCGCAGTGACTTTGGTACTATATTCATCTTTAATATAATATTTATATAATATTTGTTCTAAAGTTTAAAACAGACAAAAACATACATGACTCTAGTTTTCTTTCTGCCAAATAAACTGGATAGCTTTATTCCTAGAATTTTTCACTGTATCAGATTTAAAAAGCATTACATTACAATGTTCTGTATACTGTAGAATGCCATCAAAAAAAGTCTCCATAAAATATTATCTGAAACACATTACACTTACCTACTATTGGGCATGGAAGCGATTTAAAATTACAGCTCACACATTTTCCATTCCTGTAATCCTTATACGATTCACAAGGATATGCAGTTATATCACAGTTATGTTGTAAAGATGACATATACAAAAAAACAGATCTCTGATGATCACATTTGAAATAAGATGATCCTAGAAGAATCAAAAAGTAAACTCAAGGCTATGTAATTATGTTCTGTTTTTCACAAAATAGAATAGCAGCAGCATTTCAAAATTAGCAGTAGTTGCTAGTTAATACTTGAATGGGAGACTCCCCAGAAACTCCTAACTATAGCTTAAACTGGGATTATATTAAATTACATTCTGGAAAAAACATTTCTACACAGCTACCAAAAAATCCAGCACAGATCTCCCCTTAAAACACAAGAGTAGAGAATGACTCTTTGCCTTTTACTTCATGACTATTTTCTGCAGTTAAGTCCCCTATTCTTCCTTTTCCCTTCTCGAGTTGCTTATTTTGCTCTCCCAACATTTTCCAAGCAAGGTCCAAACAAGAATACCTAGAGATTTTGTACAAATTGATTTCTAACCATGTGTTCTAACCAGGGGTGGGTTCCTCTTACCTTTATTACTGGTTCTTCTGCGCATACCCAGATCACCAATGATGTCATTGTGCCAGGAGGGTGGAGCCTCTTTCCAGTTTTACTACCGGTTCTATAGAACCAGACAGAACCGGGAGCAACCCACCACTGGTTCTAACTACAATAGGGCTTTCTGTCCTTCCTGGGCAAAAAAGGAAACTTACTCATATTTTAAAATTTAAATCCTAGTATAAGCCTGAACAATCTAGATTTAGCACTCAAGAGCAGGATTCAATGAACAGTTTAAAAGCATACTAAAAATTACTGAATGGGTAAATCTGATTCTATACAAAATTGTAATTTTTTTTAAAAAAGTACACTAACATAATTGCCTTCATGAATGAATGAATGACTTCACTACAATTAAACCCTTCAACAAATTCCTGTAATAATTAATTCATCTATATTTACCACTAAGTATTGTCTTTGGACATCCAGGCTGATCTATTCCTCCATTTGGATAGAAATCAATGTTTCCTAAAGACTCCTTGAGACCAAAACCTAACAATGAAATACATAGTGAAGAAAAAATAAATAAACCATCTTAACCAATACTCCTGCCCACAAAAAATTAGAGCTTAATCTCTCACATATTTGTAAAAGCATTAAAAGTAATAAAAATTTAAATAATAGCATTAAGATATCAAAGAGCTAAGGATGTGTATTACTAAAACACTGATATTTATAATGATCATTAATCTACATCACAGGAATTCTAAACGTTTCATTGAAATTAGTCATAAAATAAGGAACTGATCGCTTCAAGGAGCTTAGTTAGGAGATGAAAATGGAATCTACAAGCATCAAGGTGATGTCCTAATATTTTCTCAAATATTTGCTCAAATGATGAATTTACTTTCAAATTTGTAATTTTATATCTTAGCTGTAATCTTATATAAAAGGGAATTTCCTTTTAAATGTCAATGCTAAATTGATTTTTTCCCTTTGTTGTTAATATTTTTAAAAGAACTTTAATATCTTACTGTAGACAACACCATCATGAGTTTAAACAATACTTTTTGAACTGAAAAACAGGATTTTTAAACAAATATTATAATGTGGGGTTTATCCTCTGTTCATAATTAGGATTATTACTAAACCCACTGGCATTATTAGTTGGGTTAAAGTGTCTAATGAACTTAAACAATTTATACCTGCTGTAAGAAATATATTTTGAATTGATATTTTAAAAAATAGCTGCTCCAATGTGGAACTGTAGTTTAGAAAATAACTTTTTCTGTATCAGGAAAGTCTGCAATTCAGAGACAAATGAAAAAGTTCTGACTGCATTTTTGCCAAATCTTTAAGCACAAGCCTTTTAGCATATCCTAAATACCTATTTGAATTCCAGTCATAATAATTGCATACATCCTGGCCAAAAGTATGTATTTTGAGATGGAACTTATTCTCTCATAAATATGTACAGATTCTAGTGGAATCATACCAGGAAGTGAAGTGGGGTGAGAGGGAATCATTCAAACACAGAATGCTCAAGATCCAAATGTGTAATAATTACCATCAGTATCAGAATGAATGACATCCACAAACTGGGCATCAGTATGATCCAGTCTCTCATCAGCCAGCTTTCTGGCAAATAATGGACCTGCTGGGTCAAGACCTAAAGAGCAGATTCAAAGCAGACCTCATAGGAAAAATATGCAAGCATTGTTTAAATGTAATTACTATAAGTAACACAATATTAACAACAAAACAAAGTCATTATTTAGAGGATAGGTAAACTTCTCATTAGCCCTCCCCTTCCTAACAGTCTAAATCTTAAATATAGTGGCAGCAATCTAATTAATATATACGTATGGAGATATTACTAAGGAGACACTAAGGAAAAAGACAAGTTGCAATTTTACATGGAAAGTTTTTACAATGTGCACACTGATAGAAACATCATGTTAGAAAGCATGACATAACATCATTTTATGAAGAGATTAAAGGTTTGTTCAGCAATCAGGAACTTAGGTCCAAGTTACCTCCATTGGTTTCACATTACACTACAGCCTAATTTACAGAGATACAGCCTAATTTAAAGGATATTTTCATTTAAACCAATGCACTGATGTCTCTAACAAACTATAGTAATGTATTAAATAGCAGATATTTGGAGGGTTTTCTTGGCCATTTCTCTGAGCCATTAGTCAAGTACAGTTTGTGAACTTGTGATATATATCGCCATTGTGAAAAGCCCTAAAACTGGCAAGCAGGCATAGCAATGTCTAGAGCAGATCATACATCTCTCAAACAACATTCCTGTGCTTTTCTTGTTAATAGAAATGTGTAGTGACATTGCTCAGTTGCAGAATAGTTGTTTTTGTTTTCATTTGTAAAAGAGTGTGAAAATAGATTCCAATTGCAATACTTTATATGAAAGAATTCTGCTATAAAACATGCTCCAAACTTGCAAAATCTAGCCAGCTTCTAAAATTCAACCTGGAAGAACTGTTTGAAGTTTATTCAGTTTGTAAGCCTCACCTGTAATTCTTCCAATTTTCCCATTATATTTCTTCCCAACAAATCCAGCTATATGAGCCCCAAGACTTACACCAATCATATAAATAGAATTAGCAGCAACACCATTTTCCTGTGGGGGGAAGTTATGGAAAGAGGGTTATAGAAATGTAAATCATAGAATATTTGATATAATTAGGAAATTCAACAGAATTTATTCTAGTTCCTTACATTCCCATCCTGCCAATATGTTATACTGTATATCCAAAGATTTTAAAGAACAATTAAATAACTTCAGAATAAAAATATGAAACTGCAGCAGTAAGGCCAAGTCTATTGCATATTTCATCTCAGAAATGTGCTGTGTTAGTTTATAAATAAAACCATAACACATCAATATGACCTCATTTTCCCCCCTTACACACTACAACAGATTGAGGTAAATTTTGTGATAGTACCACATAGATTACATCCTATCCAGAAGCACTCCAAATCATCATCAGCTCATGGAGAACAGCAGAGATATTTGTAAGTGGCATAAGGATTTGCACATTTCACTGTATGTAGTTGAACACAAATGAATTGTTTTTGGAAAAAGAAAATGAAATGCTACTGTTATAATCTAATCCTGATTAGTGATTGTGCATGTATAATAAATTAATTTGTATCGTAAAGTGGAAAAAAAGCTTTCAGAAAAGTAGAGCTTGATTTCTAATACAAGGAAATGAAACAGTCTACACAAAGAAATTTGTATCTATGTATTTCAGTAAAGTAATTCTGATTCGATAATGTGGAGTTAGCCTTCTATGGCATTGCCAACAAGGCTGCCATCTGAAATTAAATTATTCCTTGGAAACCTAGGAACAACTACAACATGGTAGTAAGTGCTATATATACAGACATATAATTTATGAATCTTGTTACATTTTAACATTTTTCATGGTTGGAGTTTTCAAGTTTCCCAGCCATAAAAGAAGCTAAAGTTTTTAACACCCAACATCACTTAGCTATGCTCAGTCTATTCACATTATTTTTCTATCATAATAAAATTCTATGACAGTCATTTCAGAACTTCACAAACATAAAGCAGACACAACTGATGTTTGCAGTTTGGAGACTAATTTTTATTTTATGTGTTTTATTTTAAAACACATTTTATTTATAAATAAGTGAAAATAACGTCCACATGTTACTCTTGCAATGATCACACATCTACAGTTTGCACAACCATTTAGAAATGGCATGTAACAGAACAGATTGATTTATTTATATCCTACTTTTAGTATTTTTACAAATAACCCAAATTGGTGCACATATCCAACACACCTTCCTCCTCCTATTGTCCCCACAACAATGCCCTTGTGGCCCAAGGTCACCCAGGTGGCTTTCATGGCTAATGTGGGACTAGAACTCAAAATCTTCTGGGTTCTATTCTAGTACCTTAACCACTAGACCAAATATACTTTATACTGTAGTTGTATAAGCATTGCTCATAACAGTCTGAATACATGCTCATGCATTTTCCACAAGAATACAAAAGCATTGTATATAAAGTAGATAATGATCCCCTATTATAGCCCAGAACTCTCTATTTTTACAAGAAATAACAATGAATATACAGTACAATCAACCTGATAGAGTTAACTGGGCAAGTAGATGAATCTTTCTCTAATGTCAGTATTATATATAACTTTCTTACCAACATTTGATCAATAAGATGTGTTAAACTGGGTACTACATTCTTCGCACTAGAAACAGCACTAAAATAATTCACTGTTGTTGCACCCCGATTCCAATCTACTATAATGATGTTGAAGTCTTGTTTTTCAAGCAGAAGATTTTTAATTGTATCAATCCATATTGGAGGAGAACCTGTAAATCTATACCCATGGATGATAACGACAATATTCTTGGTTACATTAAAATGTGTAGAAGTTGTTATATTATGTTCATCAAGAAGCTCAGCACAGTCTTTATTTCTTCGTGTGTACAAAAGCAGTTTCACCTTCAGATCTGTGCCAATCACAGCATTGCCAAAATTAAGATCTGTGAATTTAGGACATTCTTGACCTAAATTTGTAAAATATAAATAAAAGAAACATTTGATCAATATGATTTTTAAAGATCACATTGCATTGCATTTTTCTGCAAGACATTTATGGAATCTTAAATAAGAATATTTTATTTAACTTCACCAACACAATAAATTCATATCAGAATTCCTGGTTTATAAAAGACCAAATCTAAGTACAAATTTTATGCTGAAAAGAGATAAATCAGACATAATTGGGCTGAGTTCATCCAATTATTCTTTGTTTATCCTTTTTTTAAAATTAAATTTCAAAAACTTATAAAATACTACAGAATAACATCATTATTAACAAAAAAAAATGCTCTTAGCAATTTTAGGTCTCTTAAAAATTGTTTAACAGGCTTTAAGGATTAGATCCAGGATTTTGAAAACACTTAATTTATTCTGTTTGTTCTGGGTGAAAGCAATTCTGATTTGTTGATTCCAGAACATGATTTGAAAGAATTGAGTTCAGCCCCCTCATTACCTAGCATGGGAAACACATACAAGAATAAACAGGTATAACTCTTAAAAAAATAAAAAGTTCCACAGAAATGCTCAAATCTTTGGCATGAGGACTGAATAAACTGTCAAGAAGTATCTGATGTTAATGAATTGTCAAGTAACCTTATCTTCTCTAGAATTTAACTGAATGTTTTGGGTTTTTTTATTTTTCTAAAGAAGAAAACCTTGTGAAATTGCTACTGATGACATGCAGAGTCTTGCATCTTCATCATTAATAGTAAAGATTGTTTTGGAATGTTCTCTCTCTGGTAGTACAATAATAGCTCTTGTAGTCTGCAGTCTACCGACCTTTCCACACTTACCCCCATGAGAAAAAAACAACAAAACTCCTTCCATAGGGCTTTTTCAAATCAGAAATCATGGACAATTGCAGAATGACACAAGGTGTGTAAGTACAACAGTTTTCCCCAGTGCTACAACAATACAATAACTTCAAAAGCACCACTGAAAAAGTTCCAGTGCAACCAAGACTATCACAAGCGTAGCACCTCTTGGTTGTTATCTAAAACATCTTTTTCAGGTGTCTGTGCAAACTTGAAAAATGATGTAGCTGCTTTAACAACTGGTTTAATTTCTCTTGTGGTTGCTTTAATTAGTAGTGCAGTAGAATGGTGATGTGCTCTCTTGACATCTGAAGCACATATGAATCTTAGGCAGAACTTTACTAAACTCTGGTTATATTTTACAAAATATTTCAAAAGCTTTTTTTCCTTTCTATGGCTATAATTAGGTTTACATTTACTATCTATTATCGAGGGCATACAAATATGAGTTAAATAAAACATAGGAACAGATTAAAAATCAGTTTCCAGATTTTTTCTTATTTTATTCAGAAACAACAACAAAAAATATACCGTTTGGATATAAACCAAGCCTTGTCAGAGCAAGGCAAGATAAGTTTCACCAGCTACAAGTTTGTCAATTTTTTGTCATTCTTTAGCAGTTTCCCATTTCTCAACTAATGTAAAAATACTAAGCAAGGTTTTTGTAAAAATGTGATAAGATGTATGCCTAACGTGTGTGTATGGCCTGCAGGGGCCTAATTACTAGTATTACTCTTATTTAATACTATACGTTTGAGAAAAAAAAGCTTTTGCTACTGACTGATACTCAGACTCTCAGGATCAAAAATTCATTAATAATCTGCTGGCTCTTTAACAGGCAAACATCTTCCATCATTTTCAACGGTAGTCCCAGATCATCTAATCAAGCATACTACAATATAGCTTTTCTTTAGCACTCTTCTACTCAGGATGCCTTTGAGGATAGTTGCTCAGACGATTTTACCAACCAACTTTCTCTGTATACTACTACAACTTTTGTTTCTGTAATCTTCAATTGGGCAAAACAGTGCATCATAGGGCAATATTTTTGAACCAAGATACCTCAAATGGGTACCTCAAATTTTATAAAACATTTAATGATGTAAAAATTATCATAAAACAATAATGCAGCATAATATAAAATGTCATAAAACATTTCCTGTGCCAATGTTCAACATGGGTTATTTTTATTCTTCCCAACACTTGCTCCAAAATTCACATAGCTTCAGGGATCCATGTGTAGTTAACATCAAAGCATGGCTACTGCTGGTTTATTACACTGCCATTTAGACAAATTAGCTCTGTAATATAGTACTGCTGTGGAAACCTAACTTTTATATACTTAAGCTGTGCTAGTATTTATAGCAGGAGGGGTCAGGTGTTAAAGCCAAAGGTCATTTTTACTTTTACTTCAGCCTTTCCCCTTGCAATTTCTGTTCAAATAAGATAATACCTTGAGGCTAAACATGAATACAAGACAGCCTGACAGTTAAAGGCTGCATTTGGACATAAATTAGTCTTCTAGCTTAACCTATGCCATTATGCTAATATAAATCAACAGCAATACAAAATTTCACAATGCTTTTCAATTAATTCTGTGAATCAAGCATGATTCTACCCTGAATAGGGATTACAGGTTCATAAAAGGGGAGATTTTATTTTATTTATGATTTATTATAATAATGCGTACACTACCCTAAAAACAAGCTATATACTCAATATACTCAGTATAATCTAGTTTTGACTAAATTCCTAATTATAAGTCTTTTACATAATATAAACTAATGAACATGTTACATCTTCTCTAATGTCTTCAGTCACATGTAACATAGTTTAATGAATAAGACATAATTGATTAGACTCAGAAAAGTAAGCAGTATGGTTTACAAATCACAAGGATAGATAAGTTCATATAACTGTCCTTATCTGGGGTAGGGTATCGATTCAAATTAATGAATAGTGACAGCAGTACTCATAAGTACATAACACAATGCTCAACATGTTAAGTCCAAACCAATAATATGGTTTAGTACATTGTGAATCTAGTGAATAACTTTTCAAGCTTACAGTATGTCCTTTTAACTCAAGATATTAGAAAATGTAACACCTTCTCCATGCTTCTGATCTAATACTGTAAAACCTATTGCATTAAACTGAAATAATGGAACCATATAGAATTAATCTGACAACAAATCTTTATATAGAGGTTCAAATATCTTGAATTGTTCTACATTAAAAAACCTTTTAACTCTATTCAGAAGTGTTTTTACTTCAAGTTTCATACTAGTATTTAAGGCAATGATTCATTATTTCTTTTTAAAATTTGAGTATCTTATGTTTATGATAAAATGTTCAGAGGTAACATTCCAGGCTTTCTTACCTGCTCTCGCACAGTATGCCACAAAACAAATGAAAAAACACAACCTCAACATTGGGAGTATTCGGAAAGCAGCATGCAATAGAAAGGATGGTACTGCTATTTCCTTGTAACATGTTGATTTTTGCTTAAATTAAACGTCACCACAGGCGTGGTACACTGAAGGAAATACTTGGCAGATTAAAGTCCAGTCTTAGAGTTTTTGCAACCTACAGCTCCTCCTCCCAATTTAAATAGGCGAGGCAGTTTCTTTTCCTGAGGAGTTGTATATCTTTTAAATCACAAAAAGTTCTTTCCTCCAGATTCTCAAAATCAGATTTTATACTGCCTTTTACAGTACTTGATCTGCTGTGAACAGGCAATATTTTGTGCCATTTAAAGAGTACAGGAAGATATAATAATTTCCATTTACAAAAATAATTGATTTCATTTAATTATTGAATGTTTTTTGAACATCTACACATTTTAATACTCAAAATATAAAAGATGATATAGATATTTGCAACATTAGCAATTTGGCAATTTAGCTTCCCCCCCCCCTTGAATAATACAATGGTTCCTTATTTTCAAAAAAGCTTGTGGTTTTCTCCTTTAATATTATTTAAGTCTGACATGAGTAATATAAGCTTACTACCTAAGAATTTAGGTATTCCAATTAACATGACATAAGTACTAAAACCAAGAATGATAGAACAGATCATTATGTTGCTTTCCCCCTTACAATTCACAGTAATATAGTAAGTCTTGATGCTTTATTTTTTTATCTTCTTGTTTTGAAATGATTATCGTTGTTTTATTTATTTTATCATTGTTCCACTGATTAATTCTTCTAACTGTCAGGAAATTTCTCCTTAGTTCTAAGTTGCCTCTCTCCTTGATTAGTTTCCTCTCATTCTTGTTCTACCCTCAGGTGCTTTGGAGAATAGTTTGACTCCCTCTTCTTTGTGGCAACCCCTGAAATATCAGAATACTATCGTGTCGCTCCTAATCCTTCTTTTCATCAGACTAGACATATCCAGTTTCAGCAACCATTCTTTATGTGTTTTATCCTTGTCCCCTAATCATCTTTGTTGCTCTTCTCTGCACTCTTTCTACAGTGTCAACATCAGTTATGATTGGAGTTTTAACACAATGCATCTTCAGTGCAGCAAAGTTCATATTAACCTGAGAACCTTTATGCTATTTCATTGAAACCTGTTGATTTTATTAAATGTATTTATTTTTATATTGTCTCACTAATCTATTTGCATGATTCTTGACCATATATTTGTCAGTTATGATGACTGAAAGACATTCTTTTGGAAAATCCCTAGAATTTGTCAAAAGAAAGTACCTTCAGGAAAAGAATAGAGAAAAATCAAAAGGTATGTTTCTAAATTTAAATGTGTGATTTTCAGAATAATTATACTTGGAAAGCCAGCTACAGTATGCTTAAATACTGTATTTCAGTATTCACCCTATAGACTGAAATAGAGAACTAGTCAAAAGAAAATTGCTTAATACACAGAGCACAAAGGATTCAGAAGATGCATTAACAAATTATACTGTATCATCAATGTATGTCATCAAAGAGGCAATACTATCCTGTCAGAAGAGAAGCATTTATCAGCAAAACCAGGCAGTGGAGTGTTACTTTTTCTGGACTATAAGGAATGGGGAAAGACAGATGTTGGTATCAATCTTCCTCTTGGGAGAAAACAGCAATATAGACAATAACGTCAGAGGAAACAGTTTGGTAGTTTCAGTTATAGCAGTTGCTAATACATGTAATGCTTTTGTTGATAGGAGGGAGGAGTGCAGTTTTGCTCATTCTATAAAAGTTGCATGGCTAGGCCTGGCTGAGATCAGTGTGTCAAAAGTCATCCTTTCTGCTGAAAAACGCTGAGTCATCTGTTATGAGATCAGTCTGACTAGTGTCAAACATTTGGTAATTAGTTATTTAAACAAGGAAAAACTGTTGTACAGTAGATGAACATGAGTGTTTAATCACACAAACACATTCTACATGTTGAATATGTGCTATTGTATATCGTTTGTCCAAACATTATGCTGATATGGCAGGAAACAGAGGTTTCTTTGCTAGAGAATTGTTATGTCAGTGTGAATCAGATGTCTTCCAAGGCAGGGGTCCCCAACCTCTGGGCTGGGAGGGGTTTGCAGCTGGGCCACGGAGATGGCCAGGGAGCATGTGCACACACACATCCTCACTTGTGCGAGCAGCAGGCAAGCGCATGCATGTGTACTTCATTTGCATAAGCCACTCACGCAGAACCATCTCCTCTCCCTCCCCGCTGGTCTGCAAAGCCGGAAACGTTAGGAAACTCAGTTCTAAGGCTATCAAGACAACTGACAAGTATCTATTGATTTCACAAATACCTTTCATAAAGGGCAAAATATTTGGCAAAACTGCGTAACATTGTCACATCTAGCAAATGAAAAAGACAGACCAAAATCCAATTCCAGACAGATTAATCCTTGGAAATGTTTAAATCAGCTGAAGTATTTGCTTTCAACTAACACATTCCAACACATAATAACAATTTATGTTAAGTAATAACACAAGAAAGCAAATTTTGTCTCAACCAAGGCTGAGGAAATGTTAGGTAATTTATCTGTATCCGAATATCTTTGGGGTAATTTTCTGTCAAGCTAGTGACTTTCCTTTGCAAACACAGCATTTTTAATCTTTTAAAAAAACATTGGGCACTAATGAAAGGCTTGATAAGCTTCATCAGGCTCCAAATTGTTCCTTTGTTAAAATAGCAAGGTGACTGGGGCATTAGCCAAGAAGGGTTCTAAATCTAAGGCAGCTGCAGAAACTGTAACCAAGCCATCAATTAATATAGAGTATTCCTTCAACCACCCAGTTGCTGGACTCTCCTTGCAGCTATGGTTTGCAAACATCTCAAATAATGCTTACTGTGAGAAATCATATAAATTAATACAAATGGCCTTCTTATAAAGTAAACCATCTTCTATTAAACCAGCTGCTTGATATTCAAATATTGCAGATGTGAAGATGACTCATTGGCTTCCTTGAATTTAGTGGCTGTAGAATTTAAAATTTTCATCCATTCCATTATTCAAAATTAATACATTTCAGAACTTTTAAATTTTAGCCAAAGTATTTGTTTTGGGATTTAGTTATTAGAATACTGCTGTCTAACAGAAAGGATAAAAGTAAGATCAGGTTAATTAACCCTGAAATAAGCAAAATTCTTATTACAAAGCATTACATAAGATCACATTGGAAAGAAAAAGCTTCTAAGTCTCTAATATTTTTATTGCTTGAACCATAGTGCAAGTTTTTTAAAATAAAAATAAAATCCTAAAGCCAGCTCCTGGAGGACCAAACTAATTTTCTTCACAGCTTAATCTTGACAGAGTTACATACTGAAGTAATTTCCTTTACAATTGTATCAATGTCCAGGTCAAAAGTAGGAAGTACTGAAATATAGCTAGCCCTTGACTTACAGCCACAATTGAGCCCAAAATTTATGTTGCTAAGTTAAGCATTTCTTAAGTGAGTTTGCCCCATTTTACGAAGTTTCTTGCCACAATTGTTAAAAGAATCACTGTAGTTGTTAAACTGTGGTTAAGTGAATCTGGCTTTCCCATTGACTTTGCTTGTCAGAAGGTTGCAAAATGGGATCACATGACCCCAGGATACGACAACCATCATAAATATGAGTCAGTTGCCAAGCATCTGAAGTTTGATTGCATGACTATGGGGATGCTACAATGGTCATAAGTGTGAAAACTGGCCATGTCACTTTTTTCATTGCCATTGTAACTTTGAATAGTCACAGAATGAACTGTTGTAACTCGAGGACTACCTGTACAATATCAAAAATAACACTTCGTTGTTTTTCATGCAATGGACTCCATGGCATATCAGATGTAACTTCAACCATTCCTTGCCTTTCTTAGATGCAGACTCTGTCTGTTGTAATTTGGAATTAAAAGCAATATAATAAAAGGAAATATAGTAAATCTATATTCAGTATATCTTTCCACGCCATTCAAATGTTATAAACCATCCGTCTACTACGACAGTGATGGCTAACCTTTTCCGGACTGAGTGCCCAAAGCGCGCACACGCCCAAACTCCCAAAATGCAATGTGCGTGCGCCGCCCCTGCACATGCCCATGCCCTGCCCCCATGCATGTATGTGCAGCCCTCCCGCATATGCCCCCATGCCCATGCTTGTTGCCCCCTACACGCCCTGCCCCCCGTGCATGCATACGTGCCCCGCCCCTCACGCAGAGACCCAAAGACCAGTTGGCTGGCGGGAGGCACACACGCATGCATGGTGGAGCTGAACTGGGACGACAGCTTGTGTGCCCACAGAGAGGGCGCTACGTGCCACCTCTGGCACACGTGCCATAGGTTTGCCATCATGGTACTAGGATCATATACCCATTTGTACATTGCCTTTTATTCTTTAAACTTCTCATATTTCTGTTTGAGAACCTCAGCAGCTCCATTCAGTCACAACTTTCTTAATCTACGCCTTCAGCTCAACCTCTTCATAGTTCACGCTTATTTGTTCTGCAATCCAATCCTTCATTCTCTCTACATGACCCAACATGCCCTCCCCAACATACTTGGATTTAGGACTGTTTTTCACCAATTTGTTTAGTTTTCTTTTTCTCCTGACATACCAACTCCAGTTCTGGCACGACAAAGTAGTCTCAGATGATACAATCATTTTTTTTACTCTCATCTCTTTTCTGCCAGGAGCATTCCCAGTGATACCTTAATACTGTGTGCAGTTCTAAGCACCGTATTTCCAAAAGACTGATTGGTTAGAACAAATTCAGAGAAAGGTAACAAAGAGGAAACGACAACGATCTGAGGCCATGCCATATGAATACAGATTGGAAGACTTTGGGATGTTCAATCTGAAGAGAAAAAAAACTAAAAGGAGACACAACATTAAATTGCCACAGAAGAAGAGTAAAGAATAACAGAGTTGGAAGGGATCTCATAGGTCATCTAGTCCAAACCCTGCTCAAACAGGAGACCCTATACCACTTCTAACAAGTAACTGTCCAGTCTCTTCTTGAAAGCCTCAGGTGATGAAGCACCCACAACTTCTGAAGGCAAGTTGTTCTATTGATTGATTGTTCTCACTGTCAGAAAATTTCTCCTCATTTCTATGTTGAATCTCTCCTTCATCAGTTTCCATCCACTGTTCCTTGTCTGGCCTTTGGGTGCTTTGGAAAGTAGGTTGTCCCTCTCCTGTCTGTGACAGCCCCTCAAATATTGGAGAAACATGGAATTTAAAACAGAGAAGGCCAATTGGTTATTTTGAGAATGATAATTGTTCCAAACTGAAGAGAAAGTACAATAACATTACAATAAAAAAATAAATTTACAGACAGTTGAATTCCTGGTAAAGATAGCACAAGTGGTTGTCAATTTCACGACAACTTTGTATTTTGTCAGTTGATTGCTGCTCTGACAAATCCTAGAAAAACCTGCCCTTTTTCAGCAATTGGTCATAAACAAAAGTGTGAAGTGATTTTCCAATTAAAAAACTTAAAAAGAACTGCAACAAATACTTCTGATGGCTTACCATTGTGCATTTTTTTTTTGTGAATGGCACCCTAAAATGTCTTAATAAATGTTGCATTTATTTAATCAAGGGCAGAAAAACCAAGTGTTTGTCTGGATTTGATTACAAAAGGAAAAACAAGTTAATATGAGAATCTAACTTGGGAGGAATATTCACTTTTGGGATACACACAGAGAATACAGGTTTTTGTTTGTTTAATATTTCAAAATGAAAGCTCTGCTTTAAATTTCAGTAATAGGAGGGGACTTCATTGGCTGTAAAAAGGATACTGATGCAACAGCAGCTCTTACAAATTGTCTATATTTTCAATGACATCTGAATGCAATATGAATGCAGTATACTCAGATAACTTGTTTGATAGCATTATAATCCATTATTGTATTTTGTAATTTAAAGAAGGTATTAAATGTAGTCCTCAATTTATGACAATTGAGCACAAAATTTATGTTGCTAAGTGAAAAATTTGTTAAGTGAGTTTTGCTCCATTTCACAGCTTTTCTCAACACATTTGTTAAGTGAGTTACTGCTGTTCTTAAATTAGTAACACTGTTGTTAAGTGAATCTGGTTTCCCCATTGACTTTGCTTTTCAGAAAGTTGCAAAAGGAGATCACAATCACATGAGCATGGAGATACTGCAATGGTCATAAATCACTTTTTTCAGTGTTGTTGTAACTTCAAACGGTCACTAAATGAACCTATTCTGCCCTTTTAATATTTCCTAAAGTATCTCATTTTCCTAGGAGAGGGGTGGGTTTTAACTTCCTACACCGCCTTGAGTTATACATAAGACAGAATAAATATCTAACAACAATGTAACATCATATTACGCCAAGAAACAGTGATGAAACTGATCTGAAATAGAAGTAAATTTATCTTAAAGTACTTGTCCAAGTATTTAAAAAATATCACTAATAAATAACACATAGAATTCAATTTTAGTTATTTTATGGGGAAAAGGTGTGGGGACATTATGTATGCTGCCTTGAATTATTCAAAATAATGCCGGGATATAAATTTAATAATAAATGTAAAAAAAGATCAAATGTGGACAGTAGATTCATTGCGTGTATCAAGATTTGCCACATGATGGCAGTCCATGTTTGGGAATGGATCATTCTCCATCTAACACACACACACACACACAACACACACACACACACACACACAACACACAGAAAACAATTCAGTGAGTTAAGAGAGTTGCTAGGATACTGAAGTATAGGAAGTTCGCGCAGCAGGATGTCGGCGTTTATAGCAACTCGTGCGTGCGCGCGCGTGTGTAACTGTCTTTTACATGTGAGAAAGATACACACAAACATACAAAATTTGCTTCTTAGCATCGGAGAAAGTGATTTTAACCATTACTCTTCCGCCCTCCCACAACTAAGAAGCATCCCGCCGGCAACTGCCGCAAAGCGCAGAAGCAGTCCCCGAACGCTTTTTACCGCACAGTCGCGCGACCCCTGTGGTTTACGGCCTCGTGTGCGCTCTCGCCGGAGCCCCTCCCCTTTCGCCGGCTTCCCATTCCAAAGCCAGAACTCTGAGCTGCCGGGGCTGGTCTTCTTCACGATCATGACAACCCAAAATAGGGCGGATGAGCCCGACCGGACTCTTTTCGTGGGCAATTTGGAAAGTCGCGTGAAGGAGGAGATTCTCTATGAGCTTTTCTTGCAGGTGCAAGAGCGGGTGAGGCGGGTCCTGTGGGAGGTGGGCGTGTCAGGTGGGAGGTGGGCGTGGCTAGCGATGTAGCTGAAGCCGGGAAGCACGTGTTCGTGTTGCGAGTCGTGTACGCGGTGGTGTCAAGGGATGGGATTTCAGGGTCCGCCCATGCGACGGGATGTTGGGGCGGAAAGATGCCGTCTCACGATTCCCCCCCCCCTTTAATTTAATAGCAAAATACTTTTTTTCAAAAAAAAAATGTACGACATAAACAATTTCACAAAACCGTACGTCACTGCACAATTAGTAAGCTTGAAGGTGTCACAGGGCTCTGTTTTTACTGCAGCTGAATGTTGTCAGAAGATACCGAGGCATGTCTTCTGCAGTAGTTGACGGGGTCGCCGCGCAAGTGAAATCTATATTTATTTTATGCTCCATTTCTGAAATACAATACTGGAAAAAAAAAACTTTTAAAATTTTTTTTTCATGGATATGCTTCAAACAAGGTTTATTTTATCTACCCATTCTATGCTAAATATTGATGATGATTTATAATCAAGACAAGTTACGTAGGGTGGGGCATTAGATTTAAGAAAGCAAACAAAACCATAATAGGTACTAGCAGCTTTATAGGACTTTGATTTATTAAATAATAGCATATTAGACAAGTGAAACATTTTGGAAGGAGCATGATTTTCTTTTGAGTGTGAAAAATGTTAGACCTAAACTGCAGTATTTTTAAATACAAAAAAAGAAAAAAAAAACAATTTGCAATAACATTTAATAGGGGATAGAAATTAATGCACACGACATAGAAGTTAATCTTAAAATACAGAATGTCAGGTAATTCCTAGCAACAGAATTGTTTGGAAAATCAAGTAAAATTTAAAGGACTTGATTTTTTATTATTATTATCAGGTAATCTGATACGATCTCCAGCCTTAAATCCAATACTCTGACCTGTTAGGAGGAACATAAATTTATAAGCCACATATTTATTAATAATTAATTCCCTGTGAATTATCCTATCCTTAACAATATATTCAGAATTAAATGAAGGGGAGTGTAATCACATGTAATATCCTCTGTAGTCCTTTCTTATTTAATATGGATACTTTCTTATAAATAGAGAAATATTAAGAACTTCAGTAGTAAAGAGCAAATAAGAAATATTGAGTGGTGGAGTTGTGAGTTCAATTCCTTTGTAAGTGATACATTGAAATTGAATTGGGCACATTAATCAGACTTGAACATAATTTAAATTTTATTTCTGCAATTTAATTTGATAAAAAGTTTCTTAAATAGGAATAGTATAAAAAGTGTTCATTTTTCCACATAGAGTAGTTTTTCCAACAACTTAAATATTCCATTCTTGACTTAATCTGCCCAATCCAATGTTATATTTTATTGTTGGGTGAAGAAAAATAATTTTAAAATGGGTTATTTGTATTTTAAAGCCCTACCTGTGTGTGTAGCTTGCTTCAGCAGATTTTTTATTTATTTTTATAAACAGGAAGAATCTACATGTTTAAAAGAAAAAGCCTCAGAATGTTTGATTTTCTACTTCCTACCTTTGAAGAAGTTCATCACCTTCAGTAGGCAATCCAAAGTAGAAGAGTGGAAATGTGTTTTTTTTTTTCTTTAAAATTTTCTCTCTCCTAAAAGTGGGGATTAAACAAGCTGAATTTTGCTTGGAAATGTTGATTGTGTGCAAAACATTATTTTTTAAAAATAAATCTTAAATTAAAAAAGTTAATAGACCTTAAATGTAGAATCTATAGATCTAAATAACACTGAGATGAATCTTGCTGTAATAACTTAATAATTTCAAAAAATAACAACCTGGCCGAGAGGTTAAGGCAATAGACTGCTAATCCATTATGTTCTGCATGTGGGGATCAAATCTAACCTCAGTCAACAAATCCTGAGAGCCAGTTAGTCTAGTGCACGGGTGTCAAACTCGTGGCATCACGTTGCCGTCATGTGCTGTTTTGCGAATTTTTTTCCTTCATGGAGCTGGGGTGGGTGTGGCTTGCGTATTACACATCCAGTCCACAGGCTGCCAGTTTGACACACCTGGTCTAGTGGCTCAGGCACCAGATCAGAAACCAGGAGACTGAGTTCTAGCCCACTTTTATCATGAAAGCAGTCTGAGTGATTTTGGGCCAGTCACTCTCTCCCAGCTCAGCTTACCTCACAGAGGAGTTGTAGGGAAAATAGGAGGAGGAAGGAATATTAATTATGTTTGCCACCTTCAGTTATTTATAAAAATAAATAAAATTGAAGTCAATACCTTTTTTCAATGTTTTAACAATTAGATCTTTAGACAATGGAATTAAAAATGAACTATAGTTTGTTATTCTTCCCCCAAAACTCAAATCAGTACAAATGTGATTTTAGCCTTTTATTGGAGTAACTATTTTTTATTGGAAAGATTAAAGAGATTGAATTATTCTCACCTTTATTGATTTATCATATGCTATTTATTTCACATGTGATATTAGCTAAACTAGTGAAATTTATATTTGTTGATATTTATTTATATTTATTTCCCAGATGTTGTAGCACACTCAATTCTACTTATTAATAAATACTCAGTTCTGGTGAATAATTTTGAATAATTTAAAATAACATTAATTGATAAATAATGGGTGTTTATTGTCTGGTCTAAATCTGAATTATCTCTTTAGCAGCTACTAAGTTTTTTGAAATAATTTATCAATTTTCAAAAGTACATAATTGAAAGATAAATAAATTTAAATGAAGTTAAACAAATCGCTGATAATGCCTAAGGGCAATCATTTAACTTTGGCTGAAAATAATTAAATATTTATCTCTGTGATTAAATAACATGCAATATTTGGAGAGATAAGCCTCATTTAATTTGAAATATTCATAATTTAATTGTATCCCTTTATTTACTATTGAACATTAGAGTTGAACATTCCTGCAGTGTTTTACTTTTTTTCCTTCTGCATATAAAATATGAAATATATATATAGCTGTAACACTGAGCATAAACATTGAGTGTTTTGTCAGCACTGATTACTATAAAATAACAATATTTCTCTTTTTCTAGTCACAAGCTATTTCTACTTTCATTGTAATATCAGTGAGAATCAGATTTGGAATTAATTCCACAAAGTAGGCACTTCATATGCCTTTAGCTTTTGACAGTTGAGAAGCTACTATCTGAACAAGTTTTAGTTAATGTACTCCAATGTCTATAAGATTTACCTACTGTTAAATTTAAGTTTCCAAGAAAAGGGAAAATTTAGTTTAACAACAACAAAGTAGGAATAATATATTCTATAGGTGTACAACTGATTCCAGATAAATGCTCTTGTTTTCTTTTTCTTTCTTCGTACATTATGCCAGTTTACATGTTTTCAATTGTTTCTGCAATTTCCTAAGAATTTCCTAAGAACAGACTGGTAAATACCATGAAATGCTTGGTTGGGCACAGCAGTAAATGCTCTCATAAGCATTTGCTTATAAGAATGTATCGTTGGAAATATTTTTATCAATAGAAAATAACGATCAAATCTTTCTCAGCTCTAAATGCACCAAGTTTTCTAAGTTGTTCTCTCCACAATGCTTGTTGCCATGATTTCTCATTCTACTGGAGAATGAGAAATGTTTCTCATTATGTAAACTACATACAGCATTTGTATCTGAGGGTAATATGTTAATTAGATTATGAAAATAGTAATTGTTATTGGACTATATTTTTCTACAGAATTTAAACTTACAAGATTGTCATAAGGTTGAAACTTTCTATTGATTGCCAATACAACATGGAAAATATATATTAATAAATCTATACTTTGGGTTTATTTTGGTTATATCTTATATTTGATGACAGTATATGTTTGCTTTTATTTGAATAGCAGAGTGCTTGCTGCTGTGCATTTTTAAAAATTCTTTAATTGCTTTGATACTTCATCAGGTCCATGTACAGTAAATTATGCCCATAACAGAATAAAACAAGATATATGTAAGTAAGCTGTGAACATACAAGGAAAATTACAATGCACTGCCTTTCTGCACAAAAGAAAAATGGATACATTGGTAGAATAGGGTCCATCAAGATTTTAAAAGAGTAAGTAACAATTTTGTTTCATATAACAGAATGATAAGAGAATAAATTTTAAGTTTCTTGCAGGCTGGACCGGTATCCAAAGTCACCGTATGCAAAGACAAAGATGGAAACCCCAAGAGTTTTGGATTTGTCTGCTTTAAACACACAGAGTCAGTGCCTTATGCTATGGCTTTGCTGAATGGGATTCGTTTATATGGAAGACCAATTAAAGTTCAATATCGGTTTGGTAGGTTTAGTTACCTGCCAATAATATTTAATAAAAACTCAGAGATCTCTGGAATGTAAATGTCAAAATCCTGACACATGAAATAATGTGTCAAACAAAATTCTGCTATGACAAAGTATATTTTTCTATACTTTGGGGTCCGTTTACTGAATTAACATTTTTTAAAAAAATAAATAAAACTGATATATTACATTTCTGGTCTTTAATAGTCATTCCCTTTCAAGAAGCAAGAAATTTAAATTCTAGTGATTTGATATTAGATGCATTTTTATTTCTGCAATGATAAATTATTAACCCTTATTTCTAAACCAGTGCTTTGATCCATTCTTAATAATGATTTGTCAGATTGCCTTTCTCCTAATCTTAAAGAATTCTTACCCCATACAGATTTTGTCCAAACCTGCCTCAATTGGGTTTTTTTCTTTAGTAGATCAGACAATAGTGGTGTTCAGGAATCATCCTAAAATTACACTTGAGTAATCCCTGAAAGATAAACTGAAATATTCACTTTTTCCTATTTATAACTAGCATTAAATTGTGTTTTCACAAAGAAGCATTATGCTCCCACATGCACATTTTGTGCTTATGTTTTTTTATATTACTATTTTTTTTCTGATGAGTCAATGTCATTTATACGCACAAATTGAAATGTATCAATAATGAGCTAGTTTGGTTTAATGGTTAAGATACCAAGCTAGAAATTGAGAAATTGTTAGTTCAGTCCTACCCACCTCACAGTGTTGTTGTGGAGAAAATAGGAAGAGGAAGGTGCTTCCAGCTTCAATTATTTGTAAAATAATAAAGGCAGGATACAAGTAAGATTTACCTTGGCTAGGATATAGAGAAGTGTTTTGATTCATATAAGGATCTTCTGTTTTCTTCCAGGATATATGACCACTGAAAGACAAATGTTGAGTTGATAAAAACAAATATAGAACCCCCTATCATTTATGAAATGAATTTTGCATTCATTGCACTGCGACTTTTTAAAAATGTTCAGAGGCATACCAAAATAGATACTTTCTCACTAACCTTTGAATAACTCTACCCATCAATACATATTTTTAATTAAAAGGTCGCAATTTAAGTGTAATTACAACAGTTTACAAAAAATTTATATATTTCTTTTAGTGAGCATGAAAAGAAACTAATAATTAATTTTGGTATAATTCTGAGATTTGTTTCTATGCATTTTTAGACATATGTACACAAATGCAGTGATATTTTTAATCCTAAAATATTTAGTGTTTCATTCATAGGAAGTACTCACTGTCTAGAGTTAAGCAGTCCTTCCCAGAATATGGATGAGGATGTACAGACATCAACCTACAGGTAATGTGCATTCAAGTGGTCTCCATTGTTGTGAGGTACGGGTGGGGACAGAAACTGGAGGAGAAAAAAATCACCCTCATCATAGCACAAGCCCAGGTACTTTCGTGACCCTGCACATCAGAAACCTTTTCGTGCAACACTGTAATACTACTTTGATCATCTTGTAGACCACTATATGGCTCAGAAGCTGTATGTACATCACTATACACCATTTTCAAAGTATTTGTAAAACCATAAACTCTATCCAATGCTATGGAGATGTAGCTTTTTCATAAGTATATATGTATTAGATTATAGGCTTGTTTATTTATTATTTGTTCATTCAATTTCTATAGCCGCCCATCTCAATCAATGACTGTGTAGCTTACAGTTAATATAACTGTAACTTTCACCAAAATTAGAATTCCAGTATGTGCACATTTAGCTGTTTGCTACTATTTCATACTTATTTGTCTAGGGTTAAATCACATTAAGTTGAGTCAGAGTTTCTGCTTAGCATATAGGAATCTATTGGTAAAGAATTGAAATAGATTCTCTGTATATTGTTAATAGATAAATGACTTTTTGAGACTTTATCCATCCTTGTTTTTAATAGGTATGCAGACTCTTATTGTGATATTCCATTACCTGTTAGCCCTTATCAGGTGAATAATAATCCGCATCAGATTTATTCTGCCATACAGAGCATGGTAAGTTTAGCATAATGATAGTAAAACTATCCCAATAATATGTCATGTGTATGCCTATTCATTTATTATATAGTGCAAGAAACAATTATTAAGAAAGCCAAGATATAGTTGCTTTTCAGCTTCTGGCTGCATCTTTTATTGTCTAATTTTATTACCAATTTTCAGGTGAAATGTACTTTATAATTAGCAGTTGGCCTTATTACCCATTTTATCTATCTATACTGTAGATATAAAGGGAGAAATTGACTGGATCCTTCAGCAGTGCTTGTTACTGCCTTGCCTTGTTTTAGAGAGATGTCACGTGACCTCACAATTACATGAAATAATATGGAATGTGTAGAGTATTTGGAAGCTATAGCTAGTCTAGAAGGCAGTGGTACAAAGCAGTTTTGTCTCAATATGTTCATATAATATCACTGTTCTGAGCTGTGCTGATTTCCAGTAGGCTTCCAAATCAGATTCAAGGTCCGGATTACCACCTATAGAGTATTTTTTTTAAAGTTTTTATTGATAAAAAATATACAAACAAACATAAATACATTAAGACAACATACAAAACAAACAAACATCGATTCAGTCTTATAACTGACTCTTAAAACTACCACATCGGTGGATTATTTTTCTATTTTTCTTATCTTTCTCTTCGTATCTATATCTATATATTTACATAATTACATATTTGTATATAGAACATTATAGTCCACTCTTTATTTAATTCTAGACAGTTCCTGTTAGATAGTCAAAGTTATTTTTTTATTCCTATTTTCCCCTCCAGCCAGCTGTATCATCTTTGCCACACTAAATAGTAATCAGTATCATCTTTCTCTTGCAATTCCTTTGTAAGCTTATCCATTTCTGTGCATTCTGTAATTTTTGCGATTATTTTGTCTTCTGTCGGTAGTTGCTCAAATTTCCAATTTTGGGCAAAGAGTATATGTGCTGCTGTAAGGATATGGATAATTAGATATTTTATTTCTTTGGTATATTGTGCTGTGATTATTCCCAGTAGAAAGATTTCCGGCCTCATATCCAGCTTTTGTTTTGTAATTTCTTCAATCATTTTCCTAATTTCTTGCCAGTATTGTTTTGCCTTTCAGCATGACCACCAGAGGTGATAGTATGTCCCTTTCTGTGATTTACATTTCCAACACATTGGAGATGTATTTGGGAACATCTTGGCCAGATGCGCCGGTGGGAGGTGCCATCGGTAGAACATTTTGTAAAGGTTTTCCTTATAGGGTATAGACATTGTCAGCTTGTAATTTATTCTCCATATTTTTTCTTAGTTATCCAATTCAATGTTATATCCCATGTTTTTGGCCCAGATTACCACCTATAGAGTATTACATGGCATAGGACCAGGCTATTTTCAGGACCATCTGTTCCCCGTTATTTCTGCTTGTCCCATCAGGTCTAGCAGAGAGGACATTCTCTGGGTCTCTTACCCTGAATTATGTCTTCTCTGTGTCTGCACCTGCCCTGTGATCTTGACCCCATTAGTGTTTCTGAAGACTAGGAGGCTCCTCCAGACTTTTGAGCCAGGCAGTTAGACAAGCTTTGTGGAGATGCACTGTTATAATGCCCATTGTTGTGAAATGGACAGGTCTATGAATCATATAAATAAATAATATGTCATACCCCATCAAATTTCCAATTGATAATTTTGCATCAGTGATGTAAACAAAAAGGCAGAGTTGCGCAAACAGTTTATGCAACTTTACGGTTTGCAAGTGTGTCTCATCATGCTTAATTTTTGAAGGTATTGCATGTTACCATTTTAAAAATCTTTTGTATGTCATCTTAATGTCGCTATCAAGTGTATAATTTGAAATGATTTTTAAGCAACCCATGGTCATTTTCATACAATATATAATGAAAGTAGAGATGATTTGTTTTCAAATATTTTAAAATTCTCTTCTTTTTTCTAGATGACATGTTTGACACAACAGTATGTCCCATACAGTCCAATGGGACAACCATTTCTTTACCCACAGATGACATCACCACAATTTCCAAGCATTCCAGTATCATCCTATATAAATACTGGGCAAGATTCTTCTGAAAGTGTCTACTCAGAAGCAAAAACCCAGTGTCAATATCTTATTACAAAAAATACTCCCAAACAAAAAAGAACTCTGGAAGTTGGGGACAACGATAGTAGCAATGAAAATAATAGGAAAAAATATAGGAAAAAATGACTAAAAATGTAAAGGAATAAGTTATTAAACACTATAGGATTGTATTTATTTAAAAATAAATGTATTATTAAATAAAAGGATATGATCCTGATATTTATAAAAGAAATATCATACACACACACACACACACATATATATTCCACCCACAAATGAAATCTAATTATGTTCTTTGAAAAAGTCATGAAAATTAAATAAAGTTTATTGAAAAACATCTTTTTACTTGAAAGTGTGTTCTGACAACTGTGTTCAAACTGTAAGCAGAAAAATTTCTGAATTACAAACATAGAGTTAAAATATTTAATTGTTATACTATTCACAATGCGATGCATAAAGTTTGTGATTAAAAGTCCATTTTTGTGGGAAAATATAATATTCATATGTTGTCATTGTCAATGCTAAATTGCTGAAGACTCATTTAGCTAGAAAAAAGTCCAAAAAACAAGATTGGAAGATTGCTGATTTGCTTTATATTTCTTTCCGAACATAACAGGCATGGACTATATATGTTGCAAAGCAAATCTAAAGCAATATAAATGTCAACAGTGCATATTTGTAAATTATATTTTGCTCTCTTCTGGAAACTCGGGAAGGGTGTTGTTTTGTTTCTTTGCATTCATACAAATTATTTGTTTTCAACAGATCTTGAATATTTTACATAATCAGTGGTCATAATTTAAAGGGTAATTCATATGTAGACCCTACCTCCCCCTGCCCATCTTTTAATTAAATCACTGTACTTTTATTATTCCATTGTTTGATTGTTATATTTAAATTTTTAATAATTTTATATTTTTACTGTTGTAAGCTACAGAGAACAGCAAGATGGGCAGAAAATAAATGTAATACTAAACAAATCTTTTTAAATCATTTTTTTTATTTTATAAAAAAAAGTTAAAATAAGAAACTAAAAAAATTAAAAACAAAAAGAACAAAGAAAAAAACACAAATAAACAAAAGAAAGTACATTAAAAGAAAAAAAAATCAACACATAGACACATATTGTCCCTCCTAGTTGAATACTGATTACTACTAAATTTTCAACTAAAGATTGCATGTTAGCAAAATATGTTTTCTCAAGTTTCAGCACCATACCAAAAGTTCTTTCAGGGAAAACTATGTAAATAATTCCTTTATTCAATAATCAAAGAAGTAATTGGTAAAATATAAACATTAGAGGATTTAAAACGTGTTCTGTCAAATCTACATTAGGATGCTTTGTTACCCAAATCGGTTTTTGTTCCTTTCCCCAAGGTATGTCTCTCAGGTTAGGCCATGTTATAGCAAAATGCCATAAATACTATAAAATATTTTATTATGGTAATACAAGACCATTTTATAAATGCAGTTGCTTATAAAAAGATATAATTTGCCACTCAGAAAAATTATTTCATATTAGTCTGCAAACCAGCCATTCATCTTTGTGTGTCACAATCCAGAAGGAAATATAATAGTACAAAAGATAGCAAGATACATATTAGTCAAACCAAGAGTTAGGCTTCAAATAAAAGCATGAAAATGAATAGCAATCTTGTATTAACACATACTGTATTTTCCGGCGTATAAGACGACCCCCTACTTTTCCTGTTAAAATATAGGGTTTGGGCTATACTCGCCGTATAAGACTACCCCTCTTCCAATGCACACCAAATAAAAATTAAAAAACATCAGATTTGATTTCAATATGGTAATTTTAAGTCAAATGCTTATGACATGCAGGTACTTAGCAGGAAAACTCACTTATAAACATAAGGCTGTTTGTCATCAAACATGTAAACATAAAACAGTGCAATTGGATTAAATTTTTACTAATTCACTCTAAAGCTGAAAGGAAGGATAAGACAATAAACCCATGGGAGCTGCCATGCTGTTTGTTTTCTAAGCTGTCAACCAAACTGGAACTGATGATGATAGGAGGAAGATAACAAACAATAGAGAGCCAGTGCTGGGCAAGTCCCTGGCGAGTCAGCAACGCCCATCATAGCTGCAAGCTATTTTTACAGGTTTTGCTGGCGTGACAGTTTCCCTTTAAAAGCCTTCAAAATCCTCCTGTTCGTCATCTGATATCATAAGTACATCAATGACATATTGTGATACATTTGTAAGGCAGTCATCATATCGATCTAATCCCGTATCAGATGGTGTGGTCTCAGCTTCGGCTTCCTCTTCATCTTGCCACAAGTAGTCCTCCTCCATACCATCTAATGAATTTGATATGCCACACTTCTTGAAAGACTTGATTACTGTTTCTGCATCAATATCATTCGAGGCTTTTATGACAAACTTGCACAAAACATCCAACTGTGGAGCACCCATGTTTCCTCCTTTTGTGAATGACTTTTCACCGCTAACCATCCACTCATTCCACTGTTCTCGAATGCGATCTTTAAATGGCTTGTTTAGGCACACATCCAGTGGCTGTACCAACGATGTCAATCCTGCAGGAATAACTCCACATCTGTGTTTATTCTTGCAAGCCTTTGCTTGGTGCTGGGAGTTAAATGAGCCCTGAACATATCCCACACCAGTAGACTATGTTTTTGAATAAGTCCACCTGGTCGCCTACTCCATACATTATCAAGCCATAGTTTTACCCCTTCTTCATCCATCCAGCCTTTTTCATTCACATGTACAAAACAACCAACAGGGAACTTTAGTTTTGGCATTGTATTTCTTTTAAAAATAATCATTGGTCTCAGTCTGGAGCCATCAGCTGTGCATGCTAGTACCACTGTAAAACTGGACTTCTCATGTCCTGTTGTTTTAATTAAAATTGTTTTTTCATCTTTTGGATGGACAGTTTTATTTCCAATCATATCAAAATTCATTGGAGTTTCATCCATATTTCCGATACTACTTAACGCATAGCCATGTTTATTGTGCTGTTTTATTACATATCGATGGAAACTATTTACTTTGGCATCAAGATCTGCAGGTAATTTTTGTGCAATTTTTGTCTTTTGCCTCAGTACCAAATTATGCCTTTCCAAGAATCTAGTACACCAGGATACAGTGGCCTTAAATCTGTTGCTGTGATCTGGGTTAGATTTGGCCCACTGAAGTGCAAACAAACGTATTTTATTTCGTGTCACTACATAACCGTTTTGGCGATGCTCATTCACCATGTCTGCTACATGTTTTTCGAGTTCTGGCCAATGTGGGGTACCTCTTCTTAATGCACACTTACCCCTTGGCATACTCTTTAATGCTTTTACATTTGCTTTCCAGTCCCGAACCATCTTTTCTGTTACTCCATATTGTCTTGCAGCAGCACAGTTATTATGTTCCATGGCAAAGTTTACAACTTTAAGTTTAAAACTGGCTTCATATTTCTTTCTTCTTGCTGGTGGAGCCATGATGGGGTCTTGACTGTTAGCTATTTGTATACTGTACTGTATGTACTGTTGCTGTACTATATGTATTGTTGCTGTACTGTAGAGATACCTATGAGCCAGGCTGCACATCTGCCTGTCAAGGTAATGGGCTATGCTACATGTAGTGGCAAGAGGGCTATTTTGTACCAGGTTTTTTTCCTTCACCCATGCAGCCTTGACAAGATCGGCACAGCTTCATGAATCTGAGTTGCTGGCGCTGACTGATGATGCTACGGGAGCACCGACAACATTGACAGGAAGCTGTGCTGATCTAGTCAAGGCTGCATGCTGCTGAATGCTGGAACCAGCTGGTTGGTGAGCGGAGCTTCCCCCAGGCATCCAGGGGGATATTACTGACACTCCGACTTCCCCAGCTGACCCCCATTGATGGCGAGCCCCACCGGTCTAGTCAAGGCTGCATGCTGCTGAATGCTGGAACCAGCTGGTTGCTGAGCGGAGCTTCACCCAGGCATCTAGGGGGATATTACCGATGCTCTGACTTCCCCAGCTGACCCTCACTGATGGCGAGCCCCACCGATCTGGGGAAGTCGGAGCGTCGGTAATATCCCCCTGGATGCCTGGGGGAAGCTCCGCGCAGCAACCACCTGGTTCCAGCATTCAGCAGCATGCAGCCTTGACTGATCGGCACAGCTTCCCGAATCTGAGTTGCTGGCGCTGACTGATGACGCGACGGGAGCGCCGACAACATTGAGGGGAAGCTGTGCCGATCTAGTCAAGGCTGCATGCTGCTGAATGCTAGAACCAGCTGGTTGCTGAGCGGAGCTTCCCCCAGGCATCCAGGGGGATATTACTGACGCTCCGACTTCCCCAGACTGGTGGGGGTCAGCTGGGGAAGTCGGAGCGTCGGTAATATCCCCCTGGATGCCTGGGGGAAGCTCCGTGCAGCAACCAGCTGGTTCCAGCATTCAGCAGCATGCAGCCTTGACGAGATCGGCACAGCTTCCCCTCAATGTTGTCGACGCTCCCGTAGTGTCATCGGTCAGCGCCAGCCACTCAGATTCGGGTACCCGGCGTATAAGACGACCCCCGACTTTTGAGATGATTTTCCTGTGTTAAAAAATCATCTTATACACCGGAAAATACGGTATATTATTTAATAGTACAAAAATTAGTGAGAGCGATTTCAGTACATATTTTTAACAGAAAGGCAAATGGCTTCAAAAAGAAAATCACTAATATTGTTAGCATTTGTTATAAAAAAAAGAAAGCTCATGAGTTGTGTGATATTCTAAACAATGTCCAAAGTACATTTATAATTTTGCATAAAAACTCTAATCTCTCAAATGAGATTTTTATAGCTCATGCATTACTACACCAATATAGTAATTCATAGCTCATTATGAACACCTATTCCAGCAATCTAATAGTGATAGAAATACTTTGCATGCCTTGGTATGATAAATAAGTATAATTGCATATGTGCAATGCTATCTCTATCAGATTGTACAGATGCAATTCTAAATTAGGCAAACCAGAAAGAATTTATACCTATTTGCTGAAGAAATTTCAGGGGTTTTTCTCCCTAATATGACTGAATATTATTATTATAAGGCAAAAGGTTTAGTTTAACTTCAGGTATATTTATTCTTTTAAATATATTTTTCACAACTAAATTTCATATACTTTTATTCTATGCAGTTTATTTTCTTCCATACAATCATTAATTACTGTTCTTAGCACACATTCAAATTTTTAAAAAGGATCAAAATGCTGCCTCGGCAATTGTTTTTTTGATAGAAAGTGTTATCCTGACCACATTAATATATGGAAACATTGCTACTGGTTTAGAAACAACAGGATGTGGTCTTGTGTTGATAGGACTGATAGAACTATGAAAGGATAGTACTGTGTATGTTCTTTTCTCATTGGAGTGTGGGGGGGGAGCAATTCAGAACTTTACTATTGATACATAATGTTTAAATCTCCACTCCAAGAAGTTACAATTTTCTCCAATGCCCTCAAAGAATGTCGAACATAGCTTGTTTGAGTTTCTTCCCGTTGCTCAGCTCTTAAATTCCCTCTGAAATAACTTGAGTTAATATGCACATTCTGGAAGAGACTTTTGAATCATGAAGTGTTTTTATGAAACTGATGATATCCATAAACCTAGAACTCAAGACTTAAATCACAAACTGCCTTTGAAGGATTGTTTGATTTGAAAAAGAATTTTTTTTACCAAATAGAAAATGGATGATGAGTTTAAAGCACTCTAAAACCAGCTACCCGACCACCGGTACTGGTAAAATATTTTCTGTCTTGTTGATATCAATATAATTGGCAATACCTATACCAAGACTATGAAACAGTTCCCAAAATACCTTTATCCAGACAGGATAGATTTCCATTATTCTTGAAGACTACTCCATATTTTTTTCCCAAGAATCAGAATATCACTTCTTGCAATCAACACCAGCAAAATCCTCTGAACTGTAACAAATTTTGCTAATCAAAACCCTCAAATGCTGCCAACTAAAAGTCGTTTGATTGGAGGTAATTATAAATCTAAAAAATAACTTCGTAAGTTACATTGATACGTTTACTGACCATCATGATCAGAAAAATTGTTTAGGTCATGCATCAGATAAAGTCACACTAATTTAATAATACAGAGGAGTACACAAAAATATTTCGTATTTTTTATTTCTGAATTTATAAACCGCTTCAGTCACATTTACAATGCAACAGTTCTTGTGATTTATTTTTTGACATTTAAGTATTTGAAAATAGTTCCATGTCTTTTAATTTATGAACCTGGACATAAAAACAAGATGTATACTTCAATATTTATGACAGTATCAGCAGCCTGAAAATACCAGCATTTTATTGGAAAGAATGGAGTGTTAACAATTGTTTGTCTTCACTATTTTCTATAACAGCATTGGTTAAACTTGGTCCTTCAAAATGTATTCTATGGAATGGTTAAAAAGCTTTATCCTGCATTGGATTAGCAGTAAAACCTTAACGTGTGGACAGTTTATGTGTATTATTATTATTATTATTATTATTATGCAGTAATATGAAAAACGTTCCAATTTCAAAACATCTTCAGCTTTAAATGCCCCATTTAAAATTTTTGAAACAACTTTTCCTGTTTTCCAGAAGTGTTCTGATGCCATTTTAACCATAGTGGAAATTCTAAACGCCATCATATTTTTAAAGGTTAAAAATAGTCTGCTTTGAGATCAAATTTTCAATATGATTGGAACAGTATTAGAACGCTCAGGCAAGTCAAGATAATTTGTCTCCAGGTTAAATTGCTTCAGTTTAAAGTATTTTGCACAGGTATAATTTTAACCTGAAACTGAGTTATTAGGGGAAATTAATGTATTTACTTTATTGCGATGTAACACTACATTTTCACATAGACGTATGAAAGTGTGGTGATCTTGAACTGTGAATTATTGGAGCAAGCTAATTTCAAACAGTGGTTATGAAGAAGGCATGTTTCAGTATGCCATAATTAGGATTAACCGTAATTTAGGGTTAAGGCGTAACACTAAACTGCAATAAATTGAAAACGGAAGCAATTAACTTTAATCTCCTCATGGCCTTGCTGGAGGAAAGGGGAGCATATGAACCCAAGGCTCATTTTTATAACACTACTCAATAGTTTTGTACTATATCAAAAAGGGTCATTCTGTCATATAATCAGCAATGGTTAACTAGTGCCATCTTCTATATGGGAAGTCATCGTGTACAATGATTGCCTCTTATTAAATCTGATATTAAGAATGATAGCTCCCCAAAGTTTATGGTGTTAATGAACACAGACACAGAATTGACAGTACCTAAAACATAGTCAGGCTTGAACACAATGTTAAGAAAAGTGCTTTTAAATGCCATTTAAAAGGAACTTCACTGATATATATTAATACTGCTTCATGTCAGGCCAGGCCCAATCAATACAAACTCCTGAGAAATATCAGGATACAATACCAACACTATTGTCATCATTACTCTCAAATTATTTTGTTCCTTATTCAAGTAATGAAGTCTTGAGGTTCTGTTCATTATTAAAGCAGGACAATAAGATAAAGTTTCAGAAATGAAGCTTCTGATCATTGGCTTTCTTTAAATAATGAGCTCACAGTTCTCCTAATTCAAGCAGAAATGAAATATTTTTAAAATCCAATTTCTGAATCTCTTCAATGATGGGGAGGAACTAATGTACACTGAAAGTCCAGCATCATGCAAATAGAATTTAGTTGAACAAATAGAATTCTGCTTTGTTGATAGTATTAAAAAATAATAATGCAAGAACACTGAAGTTCAATTGAAATTTGTCTTCCGTAAATGCCTGTTTGGGATTTCCACAGCACTAACTTGAAGAGGCCAAGATCCCCCAACAATTCCTGCTTGGATTGCCACCCCTGTTACAACAGCTAGGTCTGGATCAATAGAGGTGTTAGGTTTCTTTCCAAAGAATTCTGTAATAATTTTACGTATTTTTGGAATTCGGGTGGAACCTCCAACTAATACAATCTCATCTACTTCTGCCTTGTGTAGATGTCCTTCTTTCAGTACCTGTGCAATGGGCACAAGGATTTTCTCAAAAAGGTCGTCATTTAATGTCTCAAAGAGTTTTCGAGAAATTTCTGTTTCAAAGCTAATTATTTTCCATGTGCCATCAAGAGATTTTGAAAAGCTATCTTTCCTGTCCTCTTTCATTTCAGTTTCTGAAGAATTATTTTCATGCATGTTATCCTTTTGCAAATTTTCATGCTGGTCTTTCTTCTCTGGCATAGTAAGAGAAATTTGGATTGTTGAAGAAGTATGAACTGTCAAATTTAATTTGACAGATTCTACAGCCTGCCTCAGTCGATGTATTTCTTCTTTTCTAGAGGGCAGAGAGCCGTATGTGTGATGGATTTCATTGTAGAGGTATTGCATCAACCGTTGATTGAAGTCCTGCCCACCAAGTTTGTTGTTCCCTAAAAGACAAAATCTATATATATCAGATAACTGATAGGGCAATAGATATAGCTTGAATAACATTTAACACTTGGACATGAGTAAGATGTCTCAGTTGAATAGAGCATGTGTTATGCCTGTCATGGGCTAAATAACACTATTCTTGCTAACCTAGTCTGAAAAGAAACTATTTAGTTGAACCTGTAATAGGCCATCAATCACAGCCAGCAGTCCATATTTGATAAGATGCAATGTCAAACTGCAAATACATTACATCAAAATGATATATAAGCTATAATGTGTATTTAACTATAAACTGTTAACCTTATTTGTGTGAATAAAGTATGGTAACTGTAATACCACTGACAGAATTTCTGTGGTTAAGTTCACATATCCTGCTAAATCATGGTTTAAAACACCAGAGAAACTGGATTGACACAATACATAAAACAAATAAAAAAAGTAGCATAATTAAAGCAATGTTTCCATGTGTTTTAGGTCTTTTCACATATTATGACAAGAAATGCTGGATGGAAGAAGCATGTTCTCTGCATTCAGTCATTATTCATACATGAACTGTAATGTAGACAGATGTAAGTGCTAATTTAAAACAACTGTTGCACCTAATTAAATAATATAAAAGCATTTCTTTACCTGCCATAGCTCGAGTCAGGAACATTCCTCCTTGTTTATTTAGCAGGGAAACATCTAAGGTCCCTCCACCCAGATCTACTACCAGAACATTAGATACATCAGCCTTGTGAAGGCCATATGCCAATGCTGCAGCAGTGGGCTCATTAATTACCCTCAAAATTTCCAGACCTACAAAGATAAAAATGTATTTTCATTTTCCAATATTATTTCATATAGTCAACAAAATATATGTTCAAGCATAAACTGTATATTTTTTGTCAAATATGATGATACTATGAGAATTTAAGCAAAAACTTAAAATGTCTAGTTTTGGAACTCTTTCCACAAATTAATGAGCATTTAAAATAGAGAATATTCTATTTTGCATTTACAGTGATTCATTTTAATCATTCAGGGATTTCACTGTGGCTTCAAATTCTGCAAATAAAACCTATGGTTTCATTGCTGCTCCAGTTTAGGTCCCCTTGAAAACTGAGTTTAAGAAAAGTGTGAAAAGTATGTGCATCACCTGCAAGGCTAGCTGCCTTGATTGTGTAGTTGCGCTGTCTTTCATCAAACTCTGCTGGCACTGAAATAACTGCTTTGGAAACCGGCAGTCCAAGAAAATCCTCTGACATCCTTTTCAATTTCAAAAGAAGCTGAGAACTAATATATTCTGGTGTTACCCTAATAGTCTCATTGGTTATAACAGAAAATTCAGCAGTTCCTTTGTTGTTAAGAATCTGAGAGAGGGAAGAGGAGCAAAAACACAAAACTATTATCTAACATGGGCCCAGGTTGCATATTAAGTATACAGTATTTATTTTATTTAACTGTAATTTGTTTCTGTTATGTGGAAAATAAACTATGGTTTATTTCTGGCAAAAAAATGTAATTAGGTTAATACAATGTTCAACACTTGCTTGCATTATGTATGTTCTCCAAAGCTCAACTACTCTTAATCAAACTGTATGTTTCAACAAATTCCCAAGTAAAATGAAACTAACACCACCTTTGCTTGCTGGGTATAAACACAACTGCTGTAAATTTGAATGAATACTAGTTATGACCAGTTGCTTACAGATTCAAAATAAGAAAACAATGATTTTGACAAGTGCAGATGATTAGGCAATTCTTTACAGGTAGTTCTCAATTTACAACCATTTGTTTAGTGACTGTTCAAAGTTATAAGGCACTGGAAAAAGTGACTTACCATTTTTCACACTTACCATTGCAGAAACAAATAATAAAGGACTTCTTAATTGCCTATAATAATTTTTTTGTAGTTGTTATTTCTGCCAAAAGAACTGCTAAAAATGAGGGATCCTTGGTGCTCTCTGAACTTGGTTGTTTTTCTTGCAAAACAAGAAAAACATGCAAAACATGATACCTGATATGCACTGATGATGTTACCTAGCTTGGGTAATGAAACATCTGCAAGAAAACAGAGAACACAAAGGACCCTTCATTTCAACACTGAACTACAAATATTTTCCTTTGCTGTTAAAAGTATTAACTGAAAGGTTCTCTAAATATCTGCATTTTCTATATTTATTAAAATCTTAAACAACTGCCTATTAATAGAAATATGTTCAAATTTGCAGAAATACTTTCTACTATTGTAGAATTTGTGTCAGCATTTTTTTTGTATGTATCGGTGTGCCTTTGGGTCAGTCTGGACTCATGGTGACTGCCTTGACTAGTCCCTGAGGTTCTTAGCAAGATTTTAGGAAGCAGTTTGCCACTGCCTTGTTTCTAGGATTGGCCCAAGGTCTCTCTGCTGACTTTGTGCCTAAGGCTTGATTAGAATTCATGATCTCTCCGTTTTTAGCCAAATGCCTTAACCACTACACCAAACCATCTCTGTTTTCTTAGGGATTATTCTGACCAGGCTGCCTAAACTTTCGCATACAACTGTATCCACCAAATCTAAATCTAATGTTCTATTTAATTTATCATTTATATCTTTCTTGTATTAATGCCTCTTTCTTGCAATTCTGCAGAGCAAAAGTCAAGAGCAGCTAAGAAAGGCAAGACTTTTGCATGCACATTCTAGGATGCTCATTCGCCTTGACATCAGATTTTTCACACAAATATACTTTGAGCAGAAAATATAAGTGAAAAATTCAACTGCAAATGCCAAACTACATAATTGCCTCCCAAGAAGTATAAGAAAATGCACATTTCATAAGTGGGAAACTAGTGTTATATTGTAAGAAATGCGTAAGAAAAACATATAATCTATTAAATAAATTACCTACCACAAACCAAGAACTTCACAGTTACCCAGGAAAATATCCTAACACCCAGCCTCAAAATAATAAAAATGAAAAATCCCACAGAACACAGAAGAGCAGCACACTTCATTAAAGAGAATTAAACTGTTACACATACATAATCCTGAAAAATACTCACACACAAATAAAAACTCTTCCCAAAATACTCCTAAACATATAAGTAAGGACAATGCATTTACAAACTCAAAGTAAAATCATCCCTTATAATTACTAAAATACCTGAGTTACTAACTGGACACTGGCAGAGAAAAGGGAAGAAAAATTAGAATCTTGTTGAACATGACATTAGGGCTTTGTGCATCTGGAGTCAACAAATCCTAATTTAATGATGAGTGGAACCTTGTCAAAAGTTGTCAAGGAAAACAAAACTAAACTTACAAGAAAATGATTAAAATCATAAGGTTTATTCCTTGTAAGCAAACCTACCTCTGCACTTTATAAATACCATTCATTTTGTATGGGAACTACATGATGACAGAATGTGCTACGGAAACTTAATTATAAAGAAGTGTCTGATCTTCCATTATTTACAGCAAGAGATAAACAGGATGCATACAATGTAATCCATATTAAACACACATATTCAATACAATTGATAATTGAATTGAAACTTAACAAAAACATTAAGTTTCAGTAACAGTAACATATTTCATAAAGCAGCTGGACATGAAAATCTTCATAAAATCTAAAGCATTTCAGTTTTTCCCCAACAAGAAAGTGCTTATTTGAAATCATCCGTAGGCAAGTAGTAAATAAAATGTTAATTTTACCTTAAATGGATATCTGCTGCTTTCACTTAAAAGTTCTTTTGTGGTGAAGATCTTTCCTATAAATCTCTTGGCATCATACACAGTATTCTGCGGATTTGCATCTGCTAATTCTAGTGCATCATATCCCACACACACATCATTCTCAGTAAATGACACTATGCTTGGAATGCTATTGTGTCCATTTTCATCTGGAATCACTTTCACCTGTCCTTTACCAGGAAGGAACACTCCAACTGAACAATATGTAGTACCAAGGTCAATCCCTATTACTTTTGGCGTGGGCATAGGTAAATACTGTTGGGCTAGATATCCAGCTAGTAAAAGGGTCAAAATAGCAGAACCTAAAAAAAAAAGAGGGTGGGGTGCGTGGGGAGTGATTAAAATCAGCTAATTCATTCCAATATAAATAAATGTATCATCTGTTTCTTCAACATAATGTATTATTGTATTTTATTATTAACCTCTTTTTCTCCCTTATCCAAAGTACAGAACTTGTTTGGAAAGCTATAAATTTCTTTTGCATTTATAATGAGCATTTCACAATCTGCTTCCTGAACTATACAACGGATTTCTACTATTAGAAAGTACACATTTGAATACAAACATTTTGAAACTATGCTAGGGATTTTAGAAACGGTTTAGCCATATGAATTAAACATTTTGTAATTACTTGAATAAGATCTGTCTGTGTCAGAGGATAGAACACACACACACATTCCTAAACATTGCATCAGGGGGAGGGAGGAAGAAAGCACAAGGTGTTTTGCTTCCTCTATTCCCAGATTAACAAATGTTCTTTTTTCCCTGTGGCTTTGTCGATTTCCACTAAGATAAATGTAGAGAAAAATCCGCAAATAATAAATTTTGACAACCTCTCCCTGCATTTATTTTAGTTTAAACCTCAGAGCACATTACAAGGACCCGTTTTCCCAACTTGATCTTTCATTTCCTTTCGAGTTCACAAGCAGAACAGAATGGTGATCATTCCATTGTCACCTGACAGCTATTTGTGTCTACTACCACTGAAACATCTAATCAGCTGCCATGACTAATGGTGGCAGAGCCAATTTTTTGGCACATTACGATCCTGAACAGTGGGTTTCAATTCAAATACCTTACTTCGGCTGCCTCCCTAGGAGGGAAGGGAGAAAATTATTATATTCACCGAAGGGAACGATGTACTATATAAAAGCTCCCCAATGAACAGACACTTACCCAACACCGTCATTTCCCCGGCCATTTCTAACAATCTTGCCCTGGCGCGTCCTACAAGGACCGGCTGTTACTCCGCTACCCGACTTCCGGAATCATTTACCGCTTTGCTGACTATACCTTAGTTTCTCGTGAACGGTTTAGAAAAACGCTCGCGTCGTGCGGGTCATGCTGGGAAGTGTAGTCTCATTCGCCTAAGACTCCAATAGAGTTTGTTAGTAAAGAAAACTACGATACCCAAGCAGCAACACGCAGATTACAATGGCGCCTCTTGCGTGAAAGGCGCTCTCCAAGACACGTCACCATTCTCCACGAAGGGTCTGATGGGAAGGGAAGGAAGTTTCCCGGTGATGCAGTGTGAAAAGGGCAGGTGTTTTATACTGCGTTTCCTGTTTCTCGTTTCTTTGCACTGATGTTTTCGGGATTTGGTGAAATCTTTGTAGTTGCTGTTCTTTCTAATGGCTAAATGGTTGTAAACACTCCATCTCACCATTTCTTAAACATTAGCGTACGTATTAAAGCTTTGCGATATAAAAAATACATTGTGCCTTCACTAACCGTTTGTATAAATGTGTATCGTCTCCGGAAAGCGTTCAGAGCTGGACTTTGGAAATCTGGATGTAAGATAATTCCAACGGTGACAAGTAGTTAACATGAATATCTTATGTCTGCTAATTTTTTTGACAAATACATTTTGTATTTTGTTTCTGTCTCATTGGGGTACTAATCAAACTAGATAATAATGATTGGTGTCAACCATCCTCTTTTATCTCTTTATTAAATTGCACAAGTCATTAATAGAAATGTTGAAGAATATAGGACTCAGAACTGAAATGTGGCTTTCCCTAATCAATAGGCTTGGTTAATTGCAAGAGTAGTGCTAAATATGCTCTTAAAACACTTGTTTTGCCATCAAGCCCAAACTTAGTATGCCAATCAGAATGCCATGGGATATGTTAACACATGCTTTGCTGAAAGCTAGATATAATATATCTTAATAAATTAAATACAGCTTTTGCAATCTATTATGAGGTGTGATGCTGCTTACACGGCTTCAAAAACAGGTTGGACAAATTCATGGAAGTCACTGTGCTAGCAATCTGGATACCTGCCACAGTCCAAACTCAGTCAGAACTTTTAGAAGCGAAGAGTCCTGTTTACCTATAGCTAAACACACAGCAACTATTATATATTTAAGGCTTGATAGGGCTTTAGACTAGCAATTTAGAAATAAATGGCAAATCCAAGAAAAAGAGACAAAATGAGGTGGAAGTGGAATTCAAAGCACAGCACAAGAAGGCAAACATGGCAGAGCTGAGGCTTGAAAAATGGTTCTCTTAAGGGGGGGTTGAGCCCAATAAGTAATCCACACTGAGCTACCTAAATGCCCAGTTGTGATATATTGCTCATTAGAGTCTACTCTTCTGCCCATCTGCTTTTGTTGTTTTATCCTTAAAGCACCCCTCTTACTTAGATGGTGAGTGAATCTCCGAGTCTATCAGGTGTTTGATCTGTTTCAGGCAGGCTTGAGTTATTGGATTTGACTATGCTAGAATTGTCCCCTCTAAAACAATTATAGCTTTACTTCCTCCTTCTCATCAGAAGAGCCATAATATCACTGCTTATATGTTGCCTCATTTTTTGATGGTAATATTTTTAATGGAAGAATATGTTTGATCTTGAGGAAAATGTACTGATCACTACATTGTTTAAAATTTATTATATTAATTTCTTCATGATATGCTGTAAAATCTTTCAATGAATTTATACCAGGTTGACTATTCTATAGTCCCCTGCATTTTCTCTCCCCACCCCAATTTTTTTAAAAAGTGGAAATAGCATGTATTCTCCATTCATTTTTTTTATTTCACTCATTATCCAGAATTCTTCAAAGATAATACATAAGAGTATTATCAAAAATCAGCAAGTTATTTTAGTACCTTGGGATGAAAATGTTCTGTTCTGAATATCCTTACAGACACAAATAAGCTTTCCTGGGACAACTTTTTATCAAAATCACACTTCAGTCATGCTCCTTCACTTGCTCTTCACAATTGTTTCTTGGAACAATACTGTTATTGCAGAACATTGAGCCAAATGAGGGATGACAGTTCTGCCTTTTCTGAGTTAATGGTTTATTGAGCAAGTAATACAGTCATTGGTTTCCTCTCTTTTATTTTAAGCAAACAAGAAAGATGTCAATTTAACAAGCCATTTAGAGAAAATGATATTTGTTAACTCCAAATATCCATTAATTATAAATTACATTTGTAGCAATTTATGTCAGCTTTGTAATTATATAATTGATGTTTTATATGCCACATTTCAATTTAATAAATTAAACAAATATTTTAAATTGACAGAAAAGATTAAATTGAAAGAGGCGGTGGTGAGGTCTCTCCTCAAGAAGCCTTCCCTGGACCCGGCAGTGTTATCAAATTAAGGTTGTTGAGAGTGTGGTTACGCGACAGCTCCCCCAGCACCTGGATGAAACGGTGTATCTGGATCCATTCCAGTCTGGCTTCAGGCCTGGGTACAGCATGGAAACGGCATTGGTTGATGATCTCTGGAGGGCTCGGGACAGAGGTTGTTCCTCTGCCCTGGTCCTATTAGATCTCTCAGCGGCTTTTGATACCATTGACCATGGTATCATGCTGTACCAGTTGGAAGAGTTAAGGGTGGGGGGCACTGTGTTGCGGTGGTTCTCCTCTTTTCTCTCCGACCGGTTGCAGTCTGTGTTGGCAGGGGGGCAGAGGTCGACCCCGAGGCACCTCATATGTGGGGTGCCACAAGGGTCGGTCCTCTCACCCCTTCTGTTCAACATTTATGTAAAACCGCTGGGCGAGATCATCTGTGGTTTCAGAGTGGAGTACCATCAGTATGCTGACAACACTCAACTGTACATCTCCACCCCGGACCACCCCAATGATGCCCTTGAAGTGATGTCCCAGTGCCTGGAGGCTGTGTCGATCTGGCTGGGGAGAAACAGGCTCAGGCTCAACCCATCCAAGACCGAGTGGCTGTGGTTTCCGACATCCCGATATAGTCAGTTGGTGCCATCACTGACTATTGGGGGCGAATCGCTGGCCCCCACGGAGAGGGTTCGCAACTTGGGCATCCTCCTGGATTCATGGCTGTCTTTAGAACAGCACTTGACGGCCGTGACCAAGAGGATTTTTCATCAGGTTTGCCTGATTTGCCAGTTACATCCCTTTCTGGATCGGGACTCCTTAGGCACGGTCACTCATGCCCTCGTCACTTCCCGCCTGGACTACTGTAACACTCTCTACATGGGGCTCCCCTTGAGGAGCACCTGGAGGCTCCAACTGGTGCAGAGTGCGGCCATGCGGGTGGTTATGGGAGCAACATGGCGTTTCCATGTAACACCTTTCCTGCGCAAGCTGCACTGGCTCCCGGTGGTCTTCCATGTGCGCTTCAAGGTTTTGGTTACCACCTTTAGAGCGCTCCATGGCTTAGGACCTGACTATCTACGGGGCCACCTGCTGCCACCAGCAGCCTCTCACTGGCCGGTACGCTCTCATAGAGAGGGGCTCCTCCGGGTGCCGTCAGGCGCACCTTCCGCCGCGCTCTTAAGACCTTTTTATTCCATCAGGCTGGCCTGGCCTAACTTTCCCTTTTTCCCTTTTAAAATGTAAATTTTAAATCTGTTCTTAATTATTGGGGTGTTTTAAATCTGTCTTGGGCCAAATTGTTTAATTCGATTTTATTTCGCTTTTAAATTTATGTGTTTTATCTTGTGGCTGTTCACCGCCCTGAATCCTTCTTGAGTAGGGCGGTATATAAATCAAATAAAACCTAAAAAAACCTAAACCTAAATTACATCAATTGTCCAGACTGCTTAAGAAGTAATGGAGTTTGTCAGTTGTTTGGAAGACTTCTCCAAACAGAAATTTTCATAGTGTTCAAGAGTAAAGTGAATGGAATTGAAGCTTTATCGTACCTGAAGAAATTTATGATCCTCTGCCATGCTCAACTTAATTTTTCTAATACCATTTACCATGTCTTACTCCAATTTCCAATTGTACGTACTTTTGATCTCTTCCTCCTTCCATCTTCTACATGTGCCATTTTTGTTTTCAGATATTTACTGATCTTTTTCTGCAAACTTCTTGTCTTTAATGTCTTTCATCTATTTTCTTCTTACTGGAATTGTTTGCAATTATTTATATTTTGTGGTACTCGTCTTGAATTGCATTTTCTGTTAGCTAATCATTCCATGCAATCCAACCTGTCATTATTCTAAAATAATAATTTATTTTTATTAATTATAATTTAATAAACATTTTTCTTGAAATTTGAAATACACTGAACCTTACTTTCCCTGTACTTTATTTTTCCTTAAAATTGAGAAATTTCTCCTAGTACTTCTTCTATTTCTTCGACCAAAATGTTTCCATTATTCTTACTGATTTTTTTTTAATTGATTACATAAATAGTCTATGAAAGAAACACATTTTTGTCCATCTACCATGTACAGTCTGAGATTCTTTTCATCTCCAATTGCATAGGAAGTAAGCTTATCATTTTTTGGCCAATTACATTTTTTTCCAGTCTTTATGAAATGTTAAGTCATTTATTTAGAGGATTTATATGGCTGCCCATGCCCATTTTGTATAATTAATGCATAATCCAGATATTACGGGTCACAGCAGCATTAGATAGCACAGTCCCATTATACAGAAAAAAGAATAAAGCAGCTGTTACATTTATTTTCCACTAGATGTCAGAATACTGCTAGACATTGAGGTACAGTATGTACTATAATAAATCAGAGAGCAGATTACTAATATGAGGCCTCATCATTTTCTAATTATATATTTAATCCTCTAAATATAGCAAATTCACTGCCTCTGAAATACCTTTAGAACTTGACAGTGCAACACATTCTTTCACTTTCACAATAATTATTATCTTTCAAAGGATGAATACCTTTCTTTTTTAATGTTAGTGACCACCAGGAGGCACAAAAAAAATCAGCTTCATTAATGCAGTGCCTCCTGGTGGTCACTGTAATTGAAAACCACAAAGAATATACACTGTAAAAGAGAATGAGAGTGGAAGTCATATAAATCCCCATGTCATGAAGGCATGATATATCTCTGTGCTCTGAAAGTTTAAAGAAAGATGGATTGTACAGATAATCCTCAAATTATGACCACTCTGAGTGACCACTCAAAATTATGAGGACGCTGAACAAGGGTGACCTATGACCAGTCTGAAGATGTGGCCATTGTAGTCACATGATAGTGAGC